GGTGTTGGTACATGCATATGCACTTTTATCAACCTCAAATGTTATCTTTTTTAGTGAACAGTACAGGTTACATGCTTAAAATACATGAAATACACATTCAAGCTTATGGGAAGATTGCTGGAATGGTGTGGCAACAATGTCTCTTTTAAAAAAAAAAACCCATGACAAGGAAATAAAAAATATGGATCTAAAAAAATAAAAAAATTACCCATGAGAAAAGAGACATGCAGTTTGCCATTATTGTCGTCTTGTCCTGAATAATGCTAGCTGTGCTGAGCCACAGACCCTGAGTCCCCTGGTGAATGATTTACCCATAACAAATATGTTGATGTTTGACTTTTCTGATTCTCACACTTGTTCTGAATCAGTAAAATATTTTATTGAGGTGGGTTAGCACAACAGCGATGAAACTAGCATTTTTAGAAGGTGGTCAGGTTTGTTATAATATGTTAAGATGTGGTTTGGGAATCCCTGAGTGACCTTTTTACTTTGCCATCACCATGGGTTAAATATGTTCACAATACTCGAATGGACCTCATATATGTGTAACATCTGCCTGCATTGCTCACTTCACGATCCTATAAATGTAAAAAGAGGCTTGGCCACGATTAAAAACACTATTGTGCTGTCTGCATATTATCAAATGGGTAAAGGGTTTCTCATATCTATTGCTGTCAGGCAGACATAATACAGAGCTGACAGATGCATGATACCACCTTCCTGTGTGATGTTTGAGAGTAAATACCTTTGTAGAATTGTATCTATGTATAGCTTCAGTAAACGTTTTTCCTAGGAAGGAAGGAAGGAGCATTCACATAGCTATGAAAAAATTACATATTGAGACATTAGAAGTTGGAGAAACTGAGAAAATTTAGAGGGAAAAAGTATAGTACTTGATGAGTATTTCAAATCAGGATGCCATTGATTTCAATGAATTTCTTGCAGACTTTTTTTTTTTTTTTTTAAGTAGTGTACTGCATGAAGCTGAAAGTGATCTGCTGCCACCACGAGGCTGGTCATTTACTTGCTATATAAATGCATATGAAACACATTCAAACTCATTTATAACTAATTGTGTGAAAGCTATTGGAACAAACATGCAGTTTATGGTGTCAGCAATCAATCAAGTTGTTGTGGGGAAACTAAAGAAGTAATCTGATTGGTTATGAAGTCAAAAACTCAAACTCCTGATCAAATTTCTCTTGCTCCAGTTTTGTTTTAAATAAATGACTCCCTTTGCATTTAAATTTTTGTCCTCTACCCTGTACTGATCCTTACCTACTTACTGAACTACTTTGGGAGAAAATAGTAAACACACTTCACAATATGTCATAAAACTATTACAGGCACTTCACAATAATCACAAAACTATTACAGGTTCTCTTCGACAATGTTTATACCTTATCCAAATCATGTACTGATGATTGGTTAATCATGACCAAAAAAAAAAATGTATCTGTTTAGTGCATGCCCTGGGTAAAGCACACAGAGAAAAGTAAGATAGTTACTAATGGGAATTATGTGGGGAAAAAATGTCACCAAAAATATCTGTTATTTTTCACCGTCTTTAATGATCTCCAGATTAAAAAATGTGGGCTGTGTCACACCAAAATGTTAGCCCATACAATCAGCAATTTTCTTCTTTCAACCTGTTTGTATGTATTTGTGTGTGTGTATTTTTTAAATTTATATCTTTATACAGTGTGTGTGTGTGTGTATAATATATGTATGTGTGTGTGTATATGTTTATACAGTGTGTGTATATGTGTGTATAATAATTAAATGTGTGTGCGTGTAGCAAAGCACTGACTGGCAAGATTGTGGATGCTATATACTACATGTGTCACATAAGTTTCTCATATATGTATCGTGAGGGGCTCCTGGAGGCTTTGTAGAGCTTTGAGTGAGAACGCCTCCTTTTCTACAGTAGGTCCCCAACATATCTGGTAGTCAGACCTCATTATTAGATTCAACTATCCAGCTATCATTTATATTTGTGACCTGATGGAGTTTGAGGGTATCTGTCTCTGTTGCTCTGTCTGCAGTGAGAGCCTGCTGCTGGATGAAAAGGCTGAGTGCTGACAGAACAGTAAAAGGTACAAGTGCTGTCTGTTTGTGTTGAAGAACACATTAGCGGTCACCCTGTCAGTCAGGATGTCACCTGAGTTTTGTTAGTGGGTCAGATGAGCAGATGTTTTGTTTTTTATGTTATGGACTTGTTGTACAAAGCCCTCCGGCATTGTAACTGCATCTTACAGGAGAAACATGCTTGGAGTCTTCCTGGGTGTTCTTATCTATATTCCCATTGCACACATTCCTGGAAATATGGCTCATCAATGCTGGGTGCTGTAGCGACTACCAACTGGGACTGGAAACATCATAGGCAAACGTACATATTCGCCAGCAAGCCATGGATCTCCAATATGATTCAAAAAGGTTTTTATTGCAAAAAGATCACATCAGAAAAGAAAGTGTAATGTTTCGGACCCCTTCGCCAGGCATCAGGCGTCAGTGTTTATTCAAACACTGATGGAATGACCTTGTCAATACCACCCTCTTTCAATTTAAAATCCCCTTTTGCTTATCAGTATTTAATAAAGGTAAGGTATTTTAAAATAAACCCACTGTAAGCTCCTTAAAGTATATATAAACCCTAACCTTTTTTAAATAACCTTTTCAGTTTAAAATAGAAATGAAAGGCAAAGCAATTATGTATACATATTAAAACATTATAAATACCCTTTTTCCCTCTTTTATAAGTGATCGCATAACCTCTGTTCTCAGCTGCATACAGAGCTGGAGGATGAGAAAGGGCAGTACACTGAACTTCCCAGTAAATGGCTGTGTATGGGGGACCATGTCAGCAAGTCTGGTCATTGGAGGTTAAACACTGACTATGCTGTGCTTTCATGCCTAGTGTGGTCAGGTTTTTAATGGGAAAGCAGAGGGACTGACAGGAACACCAAGGATTTTACATAAAGGAAGCAATACAAAGAGAAGAGGATACTTTATCATACAAGTACATGAGATGGCAGGCACATATCAGAAATTTTAAATGTTGGGTTTACATATTCTTTGATATGTCTCACTTATAGAAAGCCAAAGTAAGGATTTTCTCACAGCCACCAATCAGATTCAGCCCTGTCTTGGAATTTTTTAATCTGATTGACACATTCTGCAGAAAAGTTACATAGCATAGGCTTCCGGATTCACATCCACTCTCCCCACATGTGGGGCACTCCCAGGAATCTCCAAGCTAATTGCTCTCAATAAAGTGTCTGTGCAATAAAAGTGCTTTCTTCAATCCAATTATAGACATTGGGCCTTTTGAGGTACAACACCTTCTGTGGCACAACGTCTATAAAGTCTATCTCACTTTGGTGGAGCAATATCTGGTTCTGATGATTCTTGTAGTCCTCCTAGGATCAACTTTGCTTGCCACCCTCAACCGTCCCGGTATGTCAATGGAGTATATTTGTGCATATAAGGAATGGAAAAAGGCATCCAAATAGTGTAATACTGTTTATTAATCCCTTGACGCTGACGGCACACAAATATGCGGCCTCATGGAACTGGGCTTTTTTCCGTGGGGCCGCATATTTGCGTACCTGTCTTTGTGCTGGGAGCACGCCGCACAGCACGCTCCCAGCACAAAGACCGCAGTGTCACTGAGAGCCCTGGGTCCTGTTCTAACAATCGGGACCTGCGACTCCCGATTCCGGGTCACATGATCGCTGTGATAGCCTCTGATTGGCTATCACAGTGATCAGTCACTACAGCCCAGCCCCCTTGTTTTTTTCTCTTTCTATGAATGGAGAAGAGAGATACATTGTATCTCTCTATGGAACTCCTGGCATAGAGAGAAAAAAATGTTTGTAGAAAACAGAAAAAGATAAATAAATATTAAAAAAATAAAGAAAAAATACCTAGATCAAGGTTTGATCTAGTTCAGTGCCAGGGTTAGTGTTTGGGTCCAGGTCAAAGGTCAAAAGGTCAGGGTCAAAGGTCAGGATTAAAAAAAATTGGCGTCAATGTCGGTTTCAGTGTGTTTTAGGTAAAAAAAAAAAAAAAAAAAAAAGACAAAAACAAAGTGCGCCCTATTGTATCTGGGCTGTACTACAGATACAAACAACAAATAATATACACATATATGGTATCGCTGCAATCGTCAAGAGCTGGGGAATTTATTTTGGGGTGTTCTTTGGTGGTAGGTTATGGTAGTATAGTAGAAACACACAGCTAAATAAAAAAAAGATTTTTTTTTTTACTATTTTGGGCCAGTTTTCCTTTGATAATAAAAAAAAAAATCAGGAGATATCCATTATCATTTACCACCAAATGAAAGCCCAATTGGGCCTGAAAAAAACGTGGTATAATTCACCTGGATATACAAAGTAGTTGTGATGATATGTACGGTTTTACTAACACATGTCACCCTTGCAAAATTGTGCTTAGGCATTTAGATTTGATTTACCCTTAGGCCTTGAAGGGGTTAAGGTTAAAATATATACATATATTCCACTCACATGGCTCCAGAGGAAAAAAAGTCAGAAAACGCCAGACTTGAAGCAACACACCGCCCTGCATTCCAACTGCTAGATACAACGTCACCACGGTCTGCCACTGATTCGTTTCGCCCCGCCAGTAGGCGTCCTCAGAGTCCTCAGCGGTGCGTTGCTTCAAAGTTTTGGTGGAATATCCAAGTGCTGGTATATGTTAATAGACTTTACTCCCTGAAATCTTACTGTAATCTATGACATACCACTATATAGAATAAAGTAAATGGAGTGGAAATCTTGACTGAAGCTCATTTGCAGTGAATAGCAGCTTTCTGATTTTTCTAATATCTTATCTGGGAATGCTCCTAGGAAATCTAGCAATATACAAAAATGTATGAGATATATATATATATACACGTAGAAACCCTGTCTCTTCTTCCCTGTACCAGCCCTTTGAAGATTTTACATCTGGCATTTGAAGCCCTTCAAGGATTAGAATACATGAACCGTCACCACATGGTCCACCGGGCACTGTCGCCTCATAATATCCTGCTGGATGGAGAGGTAAGAAGTGATGTGATCAGTGGAGAGAATGAAAAGATCAGTACTCTCTCTGAATGGTGTGCTTAGCTGTGGTGCAATAATAACCACAGGCATGTCTCCTTAAGTGGCATTGATGAATGAATGGCACAAAGGGCGATTTATCTGTATGACAGATGATCAGAGCATTTTTTTCTGTGCTCAGGTGAGTCTGTTAATTTCATGAGCAGTAATGTGCACATGCCTAGAACACCCCTTTAGAAATGAGGGTTAACAGTTTTTTTTTTTTGCTTTCACTATCTGTCATACTAGAATCCACCCATCAACCAGCAATGTTGTAGTTATACTGGATATACAGTTGTGACCAAAATTATTCAACCCCCACTGAAATTGAGTGTTTTGGCCAGTTTGACATTGCTTTTGATCATTCAGTCATCTTGCTTACATTTACATTAAAGAGGCACTTGTAGGTCAGACAAATATAACATAACAGTTATAATGAAATAACCACAAATGTCTTTTCTGTGCTCACAGCATTATCAGTTTTATTCAACCCCCAAGTGACATTCAATCTTAGTACTTAGTACAGCATCCTTTTACAGTTATAACAGCTTTTAAACGTGAAGCATAGCTTGACACAAGTGTCTTGCAGCGATCTACGGGTATCTTCGCCCATTCTTCATGGGCAAAGGCCTCCAGTTCAGTCACATTCTTAGGCTTGCGCACTGCAACTGCTTTCTTTAAGTCCCACCAGAGGTTCTCAATCGGATTTAAGTCTGGTGACTGCGATGGCCACTCCAAAATGTTCCAGCCTTTCCTCTGCAACCATGCTCTAGTGGACTTGGAGGTATGCTTGGGATCATTGTCCTGTTGAAAGGTCCAACGTCTCCCAAGCCTCAGGTGTGTGACGGACTGCATCACGTTTCCATCCAATATCTCCTGGTACTGAAGAGAATTCATGGTACCTTGCACACGCTGAAGCTTCCCTGTACCTGCAGAAGCAAAACAGCCCCAAAGCATGATTGACCCTCCACCATGCTTCACAGTAGGCAAGGTGTTCTTTTCATCATAGGCCTTGTTCTTCCTCCTCCAAACATAGCGTTGATCCATGGGCCCAAACAGTTCTAATTTTGTTTCATCAGTCCACAGAACACTATCCCACAACTTTTGTGGTTTGTCCACATGGCTTTTGGCATACTGCAGTCGACTCTTCTTATTCTTTGGAGACAGCAAGGGGGTACGCCTGGGAGTTCTGGCACGGAGGCCTTCATTACGCAGTGTGCGTCTTATTGTCTGGGCTGAAACTTCTGTACCCACATCTGACAAATCTTTTCTCAGTTCCTCAGCAGTCACACGGGGACTTCTCTCCACTCTACGCTTCAGGTAGCGCACAGCAGTCGAAGTCAGCATCTTCTTTCTGCCACGACCAGGTAGCGTTTCAACAGTGCCCTTTGCCTTGAATTTGCGAATGATGCTTCCTAAGGTGTCTCTTGGTATGTTTAACATCTTTGCAATCTTCTTATAGCCATTGCCCTTCCTGTGAAGAGAAATCACCTCTTCTCTTGTCTTCCTGGACCATTCTCTTGCCTTCACCATGTTTGTAACCACACCAGTAAATGTCTAGAAGGAGCTGAGTATCACAGTCATTTTAAAGCTGCCTAATTGGTGCTTATTATGCTTGATTGCTGCTCGGTGACATCCACAGGTGTTTTCAATACCTGATGGAAAGCACCTGTATGAACCTCTGTTCTTCAGAGTGGTAGTCTTTAAGGGGTTGAATAATTGTGGCAATGAAGAAACCACATAAGAACCATTTACTACTGTATTACATAAACAATTGATGTCATTTTAGTTGCATTTGGGTAGTTACAACGTCCTTGTAGGATTTGATTCTGAATACAATTCCAAATGTACACTATAGTCCCTAAACCCCTTTACAGCATTGGGGGTTGAATAATTTTGGTCACAACTGTATTGCAGTTATAGTGGGTATATTACCATTTTCTAACATATAAATGTAAACATATGATTATGCCATTAGACCAACATATTTACATTGTGTTGAATCCTGAATTATTACATTACTGGAGGTAATTGGTGATGCTATAGATTCAGTTCCCAGCTAACAGACACATGGCTAAAATAAAGAACCCTCTCCTCATGTTAAAATCATGTGACTTGAACCTTTTATAATGTACTATATGTTTTTTTTGAAAATATAGAGATGTTAATATACAATATGATACCATTTTCCTGCAAGTATATAGGCAATTTAAAAATATAATACATGCTCTATTAATTCCAAACCTGAATACAGAATAAAACAGAATTTTAAAAGGAGTAGGAAATGGTTAAATGGTAATCATTTTATTGAATGTGAATAAATGGACTGCTTCCCTATCAAAATCCCCCCCCCCCTTTCACCATTAAAAGGTAACAACGTTTCCAACACACCCCCTACAATAGCACTGACAACTGTGTATAATACACAACTGTCAGTACTATCATGGAGGATTGCTATATGCTCTCATTTTGTGGGCTGCTGCAAAACTGGAGCTACTGTGCCCAGTGCTAATATGAGTGATCCTTTAAAAATCTGTTTCTAGTGCCTCATTTTATCATGGCGCAAACAAAAAACGTAAAATACCTGACAAAGGTTTTACCTTTCCTTACTCTTTTCAACAACTTTCACTGTGGATCATGAGTGAACAACCACAGATTCTATATTGAAATTGAGATCTGAATGTTAAAGGAATATGCACACATTGCATGCAAAAAACCATGGTCAGCAGCAGCGTATACTTGTATAATACACAGTGTGTGTGTTATTTACACCGTGTTCCAAATTATTTAGCAAATTCTATTTAAGTGTCACAAAGATGAAATATTTTGTTTTTCAGTTTAACTCATGGATGGCATTGTGTCTCAGGGCTCTTTTGATCACTGAAAACAATCTCGGACACCTGTGATAATTAGATTGGCCGGTGAGCCCAATTTAAGGAAAAACTACTAAAGGAGGGTGTTCCACATTATTAAGCAGAGCACCATTTTCAAGCAATATGGGGAAAAAAAAGGATGTCAGGGATCCCCTCGATCCCCGCCGCGATGGTCCCGGCGCAGGCGCACTGCACCGCCCTGTGCAGGGACATGGGCACTAGGTCTGGGCCGGCCGCGGCATTCGAGTTCGCGCATGCGCAGTAGAAGCCGCGGCCGCCCGCTGGGCACCAATGGCAGAGCAGGGCGGGATATTTAAAAATGTCCCTGAGCTGTCATTTCGGTGCCTTCTGGTCTTACCTGTTCCCTGTGTATCTGAACCTGTGCCTTGTAAGTTATTTGACCCGGATTGTCTTGACCTGCTGATTTCTCCTGCCCAGACCCTTGCTTTGCCTGACCTCTCTTCCTGGATGCCCCTCATTAGATTTGACCTACTGTTGCTGACCTGGCGTGTGACCGACGATTCTCTGCCCGCTCCTTTGTACCTTACCGTCCTCTGCGTTACCAACTCGGCCTGTCTGACTTTGCACTTGCTCAGCCGTCCATCCATCCATCCATCCCATCGGGGTCACCCGACCTCCTCACATCTGGCTCTCCCTGGTTGGTACCCCTGGCGAACACCCCTACCACTGACAGGTGTGCTCAGTAGTGGCGACCTGGTCCCGGGGTACTACAAGTCCATCCCCACCATCAGGGGCTCTGGTGAACAAGTACCCTGGGGCTTAGACTCCGCGCTCTGGGCACGCCTGACCAGTGGAGTGCTAGGGGTGCTGCTCGGCGGTCCCTCACAAGGGATCTCTCTGCTGCTGAAAAGAGTGAAATAGTTCAATGCCTTGGACGAGGTATGAAAACATTAGATATTTCACGAAAACTTAAGCGTGATCATTGCACTATTAAGAGATTTGTGGCTGATTCAGAGCACAGACGGGTTCGTGCAGATAAAGGCACATTGAGGAAGATTTCTGCCAGATCCATGCATCGGATCAAGAGAGCAGCTGCTAAAATATCATTACATAGCAGCAAACAGATATTTGAAGCTGCTGGTGCCTCTGGAGTCCCACGGACATCAAGGTGTAGAGTCCTCCAGAGTCTTGCAACTGTGCATAAACCTTCTATTCGGCCACCAATAACCAATGCTCACAAGCAGAAATGGCTGCATTGGGCAGAAAAATACATGAAGACTAATTTTCAAACAGTCCTGTTCACTGATGAGTGCCGTGCAACCCTGGCTGGTCCAGATGGATAGAGTAGTGGATGGTTGGTGGACGGCCACCCTGTTCCAACAAGGCTGCGACGTCAGCAAGGTGGTGGTGGAGTCATGTTTTGGGCCGGAATCATGGGAACAGAGCTGGTCAGACCCTTTAGGGGCCCCGAAGGTGTAAAGATGACCTCTGCAAAGTATGTGGAGTTTATGACTGACCACTTTCTTCCCTGGTACATAAGGAAGAACTACGCTTCCCATAATAAAATCATCTTCATGCATGACAATGCACCATCTCATGCTGCAAATAATACCTCTGCATCAATGGCTGTTATGGGGATAAAAGGAGAGAAAGTCATGGTGTGGCCTCCATCCTCCCCTGACCTCAATCCTATTGAGAACCTTTGGAGCATCCTCAAGCAAAAGATCTATGAGGGTGGGAGGCAGTTTACATCCAAACAGCAGCTCTGGGAGGCTATTCTGACATCTTGCAAACAAATTTAAGCAGAAACTGTCCAAAAACTCACAAGTTCAATGGATGCAAGACTTGTGAAGCTGCTATCAAATAAGTGGTCCTATGTTAAAATGTAACGTGACCTGTTAAAATGTTTAAAAAGTTAAAATGTTGTTAAAAGTTTGATTGAAATAGCTTTTGATTTCAGTAAATATGCTGCAAACACAACAAATGACAATTTTCAGTTCTTTACAACCTATAAAGTGTTTTGAAACTTACTGTGCGTAATAATTTGGAACAGTGGATTGTAAGGTTTTTATGTTTAACAAAAATACTGTTATTAGGAGGTTTGTTCAATAAAATGTGAATTGTACTCTTAATAGTTGATAACATGAGAATTATGCTGACTGTTATTTACATCAATTATTTAGGTAAATGAGAAAAATATCATTTGCATAATAATTTGGAACACGGTGTACATATGCATATATATACATTTACAAATGTTTATTTAAGGATGTGAACACAGCTGCATTGTTTTCAGTGTTTCAATGTAGGCATTCACACAGGTGAGTAAACTGCATTCAGATCCCTAACCCAAAATCCTGCATCTGAGATTCATATGCATTCTCTTAATTGAAAAAAAAGACCATTTTACACATTTAAAAACAGATCTAAAAGCAAGTAGGAACTTCCAGAAACATCATTAAAACTTTTATGGCCGTGGGAATGTAGCCTTATTTTATTCTCTTTACCGAATCAAGCATTAGGCAGTAAAACTACACTGCAGCTTACGTACAAATTGGTATCATTGCTACTTTTCTGCTTGTGGTTAAATTATTATTATATTATTAATAATATTGCTACTATATTGTATATAGAACAATATACATTTCTGTTTCAGGGGCACATCAAAATGGCTAAATTTGGTCTTTATTATATAACGGACCATGGAGCAGATGTAGATTTCCCAATAGGGTAAGTAAAATGCTGTACATATGCTTTAATAAAAAATGTCCAGTAGATGGCAGCGGTATACCAGTGTATAGTAAGCAGGGTTAAATACCTGTAGTTCACTGAAGCTTGCCTTATGTATTTCCTAGTTATATTACAAAAAATGGACACTGTTTATGTCTAGATAACTTAAGTTTAACTTCTGACATCACTGCTTCTACAATTAGATGTAGGACAATGTGACCATCTGGAGGCCGTATTAGTTTTAATAGCATCTGAAAATGCTCCCACCATTTTTATTTCATAGCCGAATTTCTGCAATCCAGCCAGGCATGGAAATGCAGCTTGAGCAACAAAAATAACAGAGCCATAGGGAATAGATATGCTGCCCATAACAGTCAATTAAATACCATGTGCACTTTATTTCCTAGTACAGTTTAGGTGATGGGAGCAATTACCTGTACAAAATAATTTATAAGATATCCCTTTTAAGTGGGTTGGTTTTTTTTTTTTTTTTTTTTTTTTTTACAGGGCAGATATTTTTTTTTTTTCTGGGGAGATATCTCTTTTAAGTTGGTCGTTCAATATAACTGTAAACTCAATTATAAGATAGTGTTATTACAGAAAAATATATGGTATTGTTGAGATATATCGATCTATAAAGAATTGGACAAATTAAGTGATGCCTAAAATGTGCCAATAATCAGGCTTCTGATTATTGGCCAAAACAGAACTTGCTTTTTTTATTTTGGATAACATGGGGAAGGGTTAGAACATCTGTCTTGGTTTTATCGCCATCTGTCTGTGACTTTGAAGAAAACCACCCTCTCTATTTATCCTGGTAAAGAGTGAGGGACAATGCAAAATTTTTACAACTGTCACCAGTACAGGAGTAATAGGTACATTTTCCAACATTATTTTGCAGAATTGTCCGTTTTTCTTTTGTGTCAATAGGGACAGAAAGTGCTTGTAAATATCCCTGGTGGCAGCACAGATGGCAGTTAAAACCTGACAACAGGCATTCTAAGGGCCTGATCACACCATGGTGCAAAGACGTCAGTTTTTCTGCATGCGTTCTGCAAGGGCTCAACAAAATCAATTTTTATCTATGTGCCCTGTTCACACCACACACTAGTATCACGTGCAGATTTTTTCTGTGCAGGAATCTGCAATGTATATAAATCTCATTGCAGTGCACATGAAAACGGATGTCTCCGCAAGTGAAATTTGCACATCAGTTTCCATCAGTTTTCATGCACGTATGGTGTGAACGAGCCCCAAGCCTTCCACAATCCATTCAAACCAAAAAAAAGGTTTTGGCTGGAGTTGCACCTTAAATGATATACTGTAGGTTGTCCAACATAACGGTAAAATCAATTATAAGAATGTGTTATTGCATAAAAATATATGGTATTGTTGAGATATATCTATCTAGAAAGAGGTGGACAAATTAAGTGATGCCTAAAATGTGCCAATAATCAGGCTTCTGATCCAGCCATTTTTGTATATAAGGCACATACACACACTTCTGCCGAGGCTCCATGGGTGAAATAGCGTTGAGACAGGTTAGAAAACCTTTACTGGACCTCTGTGCTTTCCTCCCTGAGAAATAAACCCTCAAGGTGTCTGCAGGGCATCTCGGCCTCCCTGCACCATAAGCCTTAGGCAACTGTTTGTGTTTATAATCCTTCTGGAAGTCTGAGATGCCTGAAAGATTGGCTTCTGACTGTACATTCGACCCTTTCAGCTGTCTGACTGTTAGAGTGCATTGAAACCCAAAAGCAAAATGCTAATATATTGCAGCTTACCAATCCTTAAAAGGTAACTCCACTTTCATGGGAAAAAAATATAACACATAAAAACAAATATTATAGCATAGACAAATGCTTCACAAGCCATATTGTAATTGAATGTTCTTAAAAATGATCTTTCCTTTTCATTCTGCAGTGCTGTAATTTTCTGTAAAATTCAGTGCAATATGGCAACCTGAAGGTGATCTTGTACACTGTTGGTGTGCAAAACACCCCCAGAAATGTCATTTCCTGCTTGCGTGTTTAGCTTACTGGTTTTCCCAGAGGTCTGCATTGCAAAATCAGATTTTAGCTATCCCTTGCAACAGAAATTTCACTTTTGGTGAGATACCTCCTAAGGATGGGTTTACACTAATGGCAAGCTCCTTCTAAAGTCAACCCAACGTGCCAAAACTGCATGCATTGCACACAGTTGCAGGTCAGTCGTGGCTTGGCATCATTCCTTTGAATAGGTCACATTCAGCATTGGTACTCCCCTCCAAATGTGAAAAGGGAGGTAGTGTTTGCTGAAGCATGTGTACACTCCGTCTAGCTTCCTCAGAAGCTATTAGAATGAAAAAACTCGGCTCAGCTGTGTGTTTTTATACCACCTCACAAATGCAAGTGTAATGGAGTCCTAAGGGTTAGTTACTTCTAAAGGGTTGTAGACATTGCAACTTTTCTTATCAGATCACTGAGTGATCAGTGACCAGGTGATCATAATAAACCAGACCCTCCCATTCAGAGCAGACTATGTCTGCAAAGGATATAGTCAAATGAACAGCTATTTCTTTAAAACAGAAACCAGCAGGAATCTGCACCAAAGTTTGGTAAAATCCCTGCAATGTACATTGGTCACCCAGAGGAGATTTGTTTTTTTATTTTTTCAACAAAGGTGAAGTTATTTTTTAAGTATGGTGGCTGCATTCATTTTCTTATCTTAAGCGTACTTTACAGGACGCAGGCTGAATATTCCGAGACCCTGAGTTATAGGCTTGTACCTTCAGGTGATTGGACATTGGCAAGATTTTGAAGACATGCCCCCTTGGTTTCTCTTTATAACCCTACCCTATCTGAGTTCTCAATTGTTTGCTAGTTTTTTAAGGTGGTGGACCTATTCACCCTGATGAAGAACTCACTCTTAGCTTAAAGTGGTTCTAAACCCACAACAGTAAAAATCAGTCTGTATATGCAGTAAAGCATGCTTGTTACACTCACAGCGGAACCTAGGGGGTTAATACTCTGCATTGTGTAAAAATGTTGTTTGATCCAGACTTCTCTGATCTTCCCCTTCTATTGCTCCATTCTTATCTCCTGATAAGACATATCGTGTGGAGACACTGCACATGCTCAATTTGGTGTGTATTGCTAGAGAGGTTTTTTTTTCTTAGGAGAGTGCATGTGATCAGCACAGGACCAATCAGCACTGCCCAGACAGAGGTCAGGGGTTCTGTATCCTCCTAGGGAAAACTCCTCCTGCAAGCTATAACCAGTGCTCGACTGGACACTGATAGAAGTCACAAGACTACTTTAAATGCTGATGGGAAAAGGTTTGTAGCCGCTTATATTTACTAAAATATTGCATTTCCATAATCTGTGTACTGTGGGACACCAGATATAATGCAATGGTTCTGGGTTTTGTAACACTTTCACTAGTTTATTATTTTCGCTTCAGGTTCTTCAGTCAACTCCAATCAGCTCTTCAGTGTCTTCTAATAAAACAATTAAAGCAGTGGATCTGGATCGTTGGTCTACTAGTCCATCTAATACACACCCTCTTCAGACAGTGCTGCTATCCAAAAGTGTACCTGTTGCTCCTCCATAGATAGAGAAGACACTGTAAGACAGGAATTGTGTTACCGGTCAGATAACCAGGTGGAAAAAAAAAACCCAGAAACAAATACAGCCACAACAGCTAAGAATTGTTAGGTTGCAATAAAATACAATTTTTTTTTTTAATTCATTTTAAGGTATCATGGTATGCCATGCTTTAGATTTATCTAGCTCTGTATATTTCTTTATTGTGTTGCTCTCCATACTGCTCTTTTACTGAAGATAGACTTTGTCGGTTATTTATTTAAAGTCCATCTATATCTTCTTGTCCATCTAACACTATCTACTCTAGATAGTTCTGCAGTCCAAGGGTGTCTCCGTTGCTCTTCCACAGATAGGGGAGACACCCTAAGACAGGAAGTGTTTTACTGACCACTTGGGGGAAAAAAAGCCTAAAAAAAGAAAATTAAGTAGCCACCACTTCTAAGGTTTGGTAAGTTGCAATATACTGTATTGCATTTCTGTTTTTGGGTTTAGGTCCGCTTTAAGATAAATGTGCAGGTATCATGGCATGCAATGCTTTAGTTTTATCTGTATATATCTCTATTGTGTTACTTTCTATACTGCTGTTTTCTAGATATCCATCATATTTGGCTCCGGAAGTCATTGCTCAAGGGATTGTAAAACCTAAAGATCCCACTCTGCATGAAAGACCTCGACCCTCTGGACCAAAGTCAGATGTGTGGTCTCTGGGCGTGATTTTATTTGAGCTATGTGTGGTATGTAAAATAAGAAAAATGTGTTCTGTTTTTGTGCTTTGATTGCTGCTTTTAGTTGGGTGGATATGGGGGAAGTATTGAGACCAGCTGGTATATTTTGCGGTCAGTGGTTGAAAGGGGATTTCCAGTAGAGAGTCATTTATCTGCAGTAAGTAGCCTCTGATCCAAATGTTGTAAAAGCAATGGGGCTGCTTTGTGTTGTAGTGATATATTGTAATGTCATATGATATGAGTGATACGAAACTATTGTCAGACAGACTGTCTTCTCCACCCAGCAAGAAAACACAGCTGTTTCTATCTATATATTGTAATAGCATTACATTATTAGGCACAGCAGTAAATATAATAGAATAACATAGATGTGTGTGCTTAATGTTAAAATATGTGTAGTTTAAATGAAATGCTACAGATATTTGATTCCTGCAAGAACCAAACTGTGCTAAATGTACAGAAGGTGTCTCTGTAAACCTTGGGAATAGATCAAATGACAAACCGAACCATTTTTTTAGGGGGTGAGTCTGCATAAAATTAACATTTTAATATATAGGTGGGAAAAATCTTAGTTCCCTGGCTGTTTCTAGATTTTTCAGTCACAGACTTGGGAGAAGCATTGTACCCATAATCTAATTTTGAGATTTCTTTTTTTTTAAGACAATTTAATTTATGATGCCCAAGTGTAGAAATAAATGATATTTGTAAGTGTCAAGTGCATATTCTTAGGAATTTAGCAATAAACCATTAAACCTAGCAGACTGATAACACTTTATAAATGCCTGACTTTCTGGGCAAAAGCATTTTTCCTGTACACTTGCCTTGGTTATATTTACTGAATTTTGGTATATAGTTATAATATATGCTAAGTGTAATGGCCCCACAAATTGGCTAGTCAGGTTTTTCTTTTCAATAGATATTTATTGGGTTCTCACAATACATATACAGTGGGGCAAAAAAGTATTTAGTCAGCCACCAATTGTGCAAGTTCTTCCACTTACAAAGATGAGAGAGGCCTGTAATTGGCATCATAGGTAGACCTCAACTATGAGAGACAAAATGAGAAAAAAAAATCCAGACAATCACATTGGCTGATTTGGAAAGAATTTATTTGCAGATTGCAGATTATGGTGGAAAATAAGTATTTGGTCACCTACAAACAAGCAATATTTCTGGATCTCACAGACCTGTACCTTCTTCTTTAAGAGGCTCCTCTGTCCTGCACTCATTACCTGTATCAATGGCACCTGTTTGAACTTGTTATCAGTATAAAAGACACCTGTCCACAACCTCAAACAGTCACACTCCAAACTCCACTATGGTAAAGACCAAAGAGCTGTCGAAGGACACCATAAACAAAATTGTAGACCTGCACCAGGCTGGGAAGACTGAATCTGCAATAGGCAAGCAGCTTGGTGTGAACAAATCAACTGTGGGAGCAATAATTAGAAAACGGAAGACATACAAGACCACTGATAATCTCCCTCGATCTGGGGCTCCACGCAAGATCTCACCCCGTGGGGGTCAAAATGATCACAAGAACGGTGAGCAAAAATCCCAGGACCACACGGGGGGACCTAGTGAATGACCTGCAGAGAGCTGGGACCAACGTAACAAAGGCTACCATCAGTAACACACTACGCCGCTAGGGACTCAGATCCTGCAGTGCCAGACGTGTCCCCCTGCTTAATCCAGTACATGTCCGGACCCGTCTGAAGATTGCTAGAGAGCATTTGGATGATCCAAAGGAGGATTGGGAGAATATCATATGGTCAGATGAAACCAAAATAGAACTGTTTGGTAGAAACACAACTCGTCGTGTTTGGAGGAGAGAGAATGCTGAGTTGCATCCAAAGAACACCATATCTACTGTGAAGCATGGGGGTGGCAACATCATGCTTTGGGGCTGTTTCTCCACAAAGGGACCAGGATGACTGATCCATGTACAGGACAGAATGAATGGGGCCATGTATCGTGAGATTTTGAGAGCAAACCTCCTTCCATCAGCAAGGGTATTGAAGATGAAAACGTGGCTGGGTCTTCCAACATGACAATGATCCCAAACATACCGCCCGGGCAACAAAGGAGTGGCTTCGTAAGAAGCATTTCAAGGTCCTGGAGCGGCCTAGCCAGTCTCCAGATCTCAACCCCATAGAAAACCTTTGGAGGGAGTTGAAAGTCCGTGTTGCCCAGCGACAGCCCCAAAACATCACTGCTCTAGAGGAGATCTGCATGGAGGAATGGGCCAACATACCAGCAACAGTGTGTGCCAACCTTGTAAAGACTTACAGGAAATGTTAAACCTCTGTCATTGCCAACAAAGAATATATAACAAAGTATTGAGATGATATTGTGATATTGACCAAATACTTATTTTCCACCATAATTTGCAAATAAATTCTTTCCAAATCAGCCAATGTGATTGTCTGGATTTTTTTTCTCATTTTGTCTCTCATAGTTGAGGTCTACCTATGATGCCAATTACAGGCCTCTCTCATCTTTTTAAGTGGGGGAACTTGCACAATTGGTGGCTGACTAAATACTTTTTTGCCCCACTGTATTACATAGTACAAGGTTAGGCACAATAAAAGGGCAGACCTCAGTTATACAACCCTAATTCCAAAAAAGTTGAGATGCTGTATAAAATGTACATAAAAACAGAATGCAATGATTTGCAGACCTCATAAAGTCATATTGTATTAACAGTTGAACATAGAACACATTCCAAATGTTTAAACTGAGAAGAAAATATAAGGTAGCTTTGAAATTGATGGCAGCAACATGTCTCAGAAAGTTGGGACAGGGAAACAAAAGCTGACAAAGTAAGTGGTACTAACAAGAGCTGTAAGAACATTTTGCAGCTAATCAAGTTAATTGGCAACAGGTCATTAACATGATTGGCTATAAAAAGAGCATCTTAGAGAGTCAGAGTGTCTGCAAAGTAAAAATGGGCAGAGGTTCACCAATCTGTGAAAAGCTGAGTCTAAAAATTATTGCACAATTTCAGAATAATGTTCCTCAACGTAAAATTGCATATACTTTAAATATGTCATCTTCTACCATACATAATAGCATCAAAATATTCTGAGAATCTGGAAAAATCTATGTGTACAAGGGGCAAGGCCGAAATGCAATATTGGATGTCCATGATCTTCAGGCATTCAGAGGGCACTGCATTAAAAAATGGGCATCCTTCTGTGAAGGACATCACTATATAAGCTCAGGAATACTTCCAAAAGTTACTTTCTGTGCACACAGTTCATTGTGCCATCCAAAAATGCAAGTTAAAGCTCTAGCATGCAAAGAGGAAGTCATTTCTGAATATGATCCAAAAACACTGCTGTCTTCTCTTGGTCAAAGCTAATTTAAAATGGTCTGTTGAAAAGTGGAAAACTATTCTGTGGTCAGTTGAATCGAAATTTGACATTCTTCAACCATGGACACTATCTCCTCATTACTAAAGAGGAGAGGGACCTTTCAGCTTGTTATCAACTCTCAGTTTAAAAGCCTATATCTGTGATGGTATGGGGTGGCTTATTGCGTATTGAATGGGCAGCTTGCACATCTGGAAAGGCACCATTAATGCTGAAAGATATATCCAGGTTTTAGAGCAGCATATGCTCCTATACAGACAACTTATTTTTCCGGGAAGGCCTTTCATATTTCAGCAGGACAATGCTAAACCACATAATGTATCTAGGACAACAGCGTGGCTTCGTAGTAGAAGAGTCTGGTCTGCCTGCAGTCCAGACCTTTCACCAATTGAAAGTATTTGGTGCATCTTTTTTGAAAGTATTGAAAGTATTTTTGGTGCAAAAATAAGACAAAGACGACCCAGGACTGTTGAGCAGTTATAATCTTATATCAGGCAAAAATGGGGCAACATTCTTCTCCCAGATCTCCAGCACCTGGTCTCCTCAGTTCCCAGGCATTTACAAAGTGTTGATAAAAGATGAGGGGATGCAACACCATAGTAAATATGGCACTGTCCCAACTTTTTTGAGACGTGTTGCTGTCATCAATTTAAAAGTTATCTTGTGCTTTTCTTAAAATGGTACATTTTCTCAGTTTAAAGTGATAGTAACAGTTCGTATTTTATTCTTTTAAAATAACAAACATGTCATATTCACCTGCTCTGTGTAGTGGTTTTGCAAAGAGCAGCCTCATTTCTCCTTTTCTGAGGTCCCCTGCCAGCACTACTTGCTCCTCTTCAGCCAGTGCCCCCACAGCAAGCCACCTGCTGTGTGGGCACTGGTGTATGCTCGCTCCCAAGCCACTGCTCTATGCGTCCAAAAGACATATAGAGACGTGCCTCGGCCCCGCTCCCATCTCTCCTCATTGGCTCACTGGAGTGATTTGACAGCAGTCCTTTTTGATCCTGCTCCTTTCTCAGCCAATGAGAATTGAGAGATCTGGGAGAAGGTCTACTCTTGTGCACAGCGCTGGGCTGAGAGGGGACTCTGTTAGTATTGGGGGTAAGGGGGAGGCTGGGGGTACTGCACACAGAAGGTTTTTTACCTTCATGCATAGAATGCATGAAGGTAAAAAACCTTGAGCCTTTACAACCACTTTAGACATTTGATATGTTTTCTATTTTCATTCTGAGCAAAATATGGTTTCATGAGATTTGCAAATCATTGCATTCATATGTAGATTTTAAACCGTGTCCCAACTTTTTTGGAATTGGGGTTGTCCATTATTAACCACTTTCCCTCTTCCCTATAGCAGTTCCTGTGCAAAACTACATATATAAACGTCATTTTGCACTTCCGCCACTTGGGGGGTATGTACCGCTGGAAGAAATTTTCAGCTGTCACAACACAAAACAATCTGCAAGCCCCGGCGAGCAACTGCAGATCGTCAGTCAGGGAGGAAGAACAGAGCTATGGCTTTATGGTTTACATAGCCATAGCACTGTTGTGACAGGGGACACTGCAGCAGATATAGAGTAGAAGGGGCAAAGCTTGAAGCTCCTGGAGACTTCATGGAATAGAATAAGCTTTTCAGTAGGGTAACATTTAAGATGTGTTGTTGGTGCGAATAGCAATTCCTTTACTACTATATTGTATATGATGTTTCATAGTTAATGCACGCACAGTCATGACCAAAAATATTGGCACCCCTGCATTTCTATCAAATAATGCACAACGTCTCCCAGAAAATTGTTGCAATTACAAATGTTTAGGCATGTTTATTTATTTTGTTTGTATTGGTATGACACAAAAAAAGTGGAGAAACAAAAATCCAAATCTGACACATTTTTCTCCATGACTGTAATGCTAGAAGTCAGATTCATGTCTTTCTGTAGTCACCTCTTGCGCACTGTAGGTGGTACATGAAATGGTAGTATTCTTAGAAAATAGATGCAACAGAACAATATATGCATTTTCCTTACAAGTACATTTATTTCTAGTAGATAGACATATATTTTACAAACAATTTATAAGTGGTCCTATCTAATAAATGTATTCTTCTTTTCTCAGGGAAGGAAATTATTTCAAAGCCTTGATATAGCTGAGAAGCTAAAACTTATACTTACTCTGGGTATGTGATAAAAGTGAATTCTTATACCATTGTATTAAAAATTTGAAGCCTAAACTTCTTGCAAACAGCTACAGCCATGTAAAAAAATAAATAAATGTGTAACACTCATTATGAGAAATAATGCCTATAGGTATTTGAACGTAAACTTGCCTTTTCAATCATTTATTCCACAAAAATATCAATAGATGCAATAGTGTACCATGCAAAAAGTAAGTAGACCCTTGGTCTCAGAAACTGGTATTTGCCCCCTTTGGCAGAAATTACTTCTTGCAGGTCTTTGGCATAACTGCTGACCAATCTCTGACATTGATTTAATGAAGTTGTTAACCACTCCTTCATGCAAAATTCCTTTAGTTGCAAAATGTTTTTGGTTCCTTGCATGTACAGTACTGCTCATTTAAAATTCCCCCACACATTTTAATGGGATTCGTACGAGAGCTTTCACATAGTCATTCATTTCTTCTGTTTTTAGCCAATTGTTATGTCTTGGTCATTATTGCACTGAAGGATCCTTTAGTTTTAACAGATGCCCTAAGTACATATTCATATTGTGCAGAATGTATAGATGCCTCGATGACTGCAAGCTGCCTAGACTCTGAAGCAGCAAAACTACCCCAAAAACATTTCCAGCATCATATTGGTATAATGTTCTTCTGAAATGCTGTCTTCAGTTTTCACCAAGCACATCTACCGTTATTGTGACAAAACACTTCGGTCTATGATTCATCAGTCCACAGCACATTGTTTCAGAAGGCCTTTTCTTTCACCTATATGTTCAAATTGCAAGCTGTAGTTTTGCTCTAATGTTCTTTTTTGGTAGCAAACGTTTTTCCTGGTATGCCTCCCATGCAGGTTTGATTGGTGCAATCTCTGTCTGATTGTAGATTCATGTAATGTAAATGCTGCAAACATTGCCTGCTGATACCATAATGAAATTTTGAGGTTCTTGGTGACTTTTGGTATCAAATGGTCAGCTCTTTTGCTGAATTTGCTGGTCTGGCCAATGCTGGACAAAGTAGCAGTCAATTGAAGTCTGCAGATTATTTTTTTTACAGTGGTAGGATGGATTTCAAATAATTTGGTGATCTTTCTAAAACCCTTGTCAGACCCAAAAGCATCCACATACTTCTCTGTTGAGCTTGACATGATGCTACACGCAGCATAAGCAAACTACACCTTAGATATTCTAGGTTTAAATTATAAGTTCACCTTTATGGAAAAAAAATAATAAATGCACGTTTTTATAGAAAAAAATGTGCATGTAGTATTTTTTCAAGCAGGAGCCTGGAAAGCATTTCACCCGCAATTTGTAGATCATGGTTGCAATGTGAACTCCTGCAGATATGTCCTCTGGCTTTCAGCCGATACCTTTGTTTGAAATCTGGAGGACATGTCAGTGGACTATGAGAGTGCTCATAAGCACCCTAGCAGCCCATTGAAGCTACAAGTCCATCTACCACAGTGGCAGATGGTACTTGTAGTTTTTATTCATTCACAGGAATCTGTGAATGAATGAAATGCCTGTGTGTGGACGAAGCCCCGCACAGCCATGCTACTTTCAAAAAGTGACAGTGGGCTCTGGTAGAAGAACCCCCACCTGCTGTTCTAGGGGAAGGGAGATCGGGGGGAGAGGTGGCAGGAGCTGGAATAGGTGGAATATATACCTTGTTTCGAAGGTGAACTTATCCTTTAAATTAGACAAGTTCCACCTGCATACTCCCTAAGGAGAATGTAATCATTGCCACCTAATTTGGAACACTGTATTCTAATTTCATGGGTTTGATATGGTAGTAAATGGAGGAGTAAGCTACTTTTTGAACTTGACATCTCTGCATTTTATTAATTTAGATCAGGGGTGGGCAACTGTGCCCTCCAGCTGTTGTAGAACTACAAGTCCCATGAAGCATTGCAAAACTGACAGTTACAAGCATGACTCCCAAAGGCAGAGGCATGATGGAATTTGTAGTTCACCAACAGCTGGAGGGCCACAGTTGCCCACCCCTGATTTAGATGATAAAAATGAATATACCATGACAATTTTTATGTGTTGTTTGTTCAAGTATACTACTTTTATCTGTAGAACTGTTTGAATAAAGATCTAATGTTTTCCTGTTCAAATATATTGAAAAAGTCAACAATTTCCAAAGGGTGCAGGTTTCACATGGTCTCAGATTCATAGGTAGTATTACATGTATGGGGTTTGTTTGAATTTCTCTCCACCCAATCCAGAAATATAGACAGCTCTCACAGATTGATTTTGAACTTCATCCAATCTGGCATTTGCATCTTTGAGTGCTGAGGTTTTTTTTTATCAGGTGTTACCTATATTCATACTCTGTTCTGGTATCTTATTGGCTCTTGTTGCTGCAAGAAATTTCCAGTGTATGTGAATTTAAAGACATTACTATGTTTATAAAGGTTCATTTAGGTGTTATTTATTTATTATTTATGTATTTCAGGTACTTATATAGCACCATCAATTTATGTAGCGCTTTACATAAATATTGTACATTCACATCAGTCCCTAACCTTCAAGGGGCGTACAATCTAAGGTCCCTAACTTACATTCATACATACACATACTAGGACCAATTTAGACAGGAGCCAATTCACCTACCAGCATGTCTTTGGAGTGTGGGAGGAAACCCATGCAGACACAGGGAGAACATGCAAACTCCAGGCAGGTGGTGCCGTGGTTGGGATTTGAACCAACGACCCTAGTACTGCCAGGCGGAAGTGTTAACCATTTTGCCACTGTGCTGCCCACTCTCTGCTGGGAGTCACAGGTGCAGCATACAGCCCGCTGCCAGCAGCCTGTCGAAATCAATAACAGGCTTAAACATGCAGCAGCTGTATATACACACATCCGAGGGCTCCTTGCATATTGTGGGCATATGCTTTGCCCCAAATGCAGACAGTCTGTTCATACAACATACAAAAGACAGAAAAAGTCCAGGCATACTTTTAAAGGCAGCTGAGATTCTTCACACTTCAGGTTAAAATAGCTTTGTCATGGGAACACCAACTGAACCAAGGACTGCACAGAAAAGAGCAGGTTTAACAGACATCAGATACATGGGAGGTGACATTAATGCCTTGTTTTTAATGTTGCAAATGTCTGGCATTATTCTAATCCTTATTTCACTGAGTGGTAATTTACTGACCCACAACAAGAATCCTGTCCCTGTACTTGGTATGCATTATGTATCTAAATTCATATATTCCTCCTCTAGTTAAACATTCAAATAAAAAATGTAGTGTGTAAAAGTGGTAATGTACAAAGTGTGTGGTCTTTCTCCTGTTGATACATGGACATAAATAAAGTGTTGCACAGTAATTCGTATATATCAGTACCTCTGCACAGCTAGGTATGTCTATCATATGCTGCAGTGCGCTACCTGGACAGTTTCTGCAGAGAATACATTACTCTTCTTACTTTGTGTACGACACAGCCTCTAGTATATCTGCAGCTAGTTCATTTAAAGGGATTTTAACACCTGCCTGTCAGTAAGAAAACCAGGATCCACACAGAATCATATAATTTTCTTCTTTGGATTTTCATTTTAGGAAGGTTGTCTTTTCATGATACCATGAAATTCCCAGCTTGCTTTTTTAACATAGCTCCAAGTATTTATGTGAATGTCTTGGTCTTCACATTCTTGTTATTTTGCTCCCTCAGGCTGTGTTGATGACATTGTGACCGTGCTTGCTGAAGAACATGGATGTGTGGAAGTGATAAAGGTCTGTGAATTGGTTTGCTATTCCCAGGAAATTGCTGGCTGAGCTAATGTCATGCATTTTAAAAGCAGAATGTTTGCAATATTCCCTCTAGGTGGTGCTGTAGAGAACATGTGATTCCCAGTTGATGAATGCTGGTAGCATCTCATATCAGCTATAACAGGAATGGATGTGAATCTATCTGAAGTTACTGCCTGCAAATGCCTGTTACAGTTGTGTGAGACTTAGATGACCTGTGATGACTCAGCAAAAATAAGACAGCAAAACATGACCACCTTTACTGTAGAATAATGTTTAAAACATAAAAAAATAAAAAAAAAAATTATATATATATATATATATATATATATATAAGGATTGCAAGAGTAAAGCTGATTTATTCATGACAGAATGAACCTAAGACAACTGTATTAACATGAAAAGATGCATTAATTGTCTGCGTTTTACCTCTGCATTTAAATTGTTCGATGTGAGTCTTGTTGGCTCACAGATGTTTAGATCGGACTCCAGACTAATGCCAGCATGTTCTCAGCTATTGACTCCACTGCTTCTGTGATGTGTTGTCTCAGGTCATTCAGGTCCTGTGGCATGAAGGGGGGGACATACACCAAGTCCTTGGTGTACCCCCACAGAAAGAAGTCACAGAGTGTTAGGTGTGGCGATCGTGGAGGCCAGAGTGACATTGGTGAATCGTTCTTTCCTGCACAGCCGCTCCAATGTTCTAATAGAGCATCATTCAGGTATCGGCGAACACCCAAGTGGAAATGAGGGTGAGCGCATCCTGCTGAAAGATTAGATTGGGCAGATTTTCCTCAATCTACAGCATAAGCCATTCTGTAATCATGTCTAGATTGGAGCAGCCAGAGACAGTGTCATTGTGCAAAAGTAAAAACTTCTAGCAAGAGTGGCAACAAATGGTAAACGGCAATCATTTGTTGTGTCACTAAAGGGGCTTACATCGAACATTTGTAGTGCAGAAGTAAAACTTGGAGAGATCATGTGTCTTTTTTATGTTGATACATTTGCATTGGGTTCGTTCTGTTAGGAATAAATCAGCTTTACTTTTACAACATCCTTTTTGACTTCAAAATAAATACATTTATATATATATATATATATATATATATATATACATATATATATATATATACACACACACACATTTTTTTCATGTAATATGTAATTTTGTTGCTCACCTTCATGGTGGTATTTATGGAGTTCTTTTTTTCAGAATCTGCCAGAACACGTCTTAGCGTTACTGAGAAAATGTCTCACATACCACCCATCCAAAAGGTGAGCACGGCGTGGTAATAGTTGAAATTTTTCTTTTCCTGGTTAAAGTGACATTAAAGCCTATTTTTTTCAGACAATAATTGTATAACTTGCATGTAGTTAATGTTTTTATTTAAAAATTCCTCCCTGTGTATACTTTTAAAAGTGTCCCCCGGCTGTGCTGTTCCACTTCCCATTCTATAAGTTCCCCTGTGTCGCTGAAACCTTGGGAGTCCCCTATAAATGTTCACTCCCGCTGTGTAGTGCAACTATATGTGCATCCCTCTGAGTGCCGCACACATAGGCAGTGCGAGAGAGACATAGGACCACTGTTAATCACAGCTGTAGAAGAGGAGAAAAGGTATGGCTTTTGTTTTGTTTGTCCCTCTAGCCTTTGTGTGCGGCGGAACAATGCACTTACAGTTGTAGTACAGAGCAGAGCACACGTAGAGGGGACTTTTATGAAACTCCATAGGTCCCAGTGGCACAGGGGAACATATAGAAATGAGGTATGTGTCAGGGTAGCCAGGGGACACTCTAAAAAGTAAATGCGGAGGAAGAATTTTCTTCACTTTAGGTATTTTGTATTTATTTATTAATCAAACTTAAAAATTAAAAAACAGATTAGCAATTAGAATATACAGAATTAAAAATATACGGTAGTCATATGACTGACTGTTTTAATGTTAAACAAATTTTTTGTTTTTACTTTCCTTGCACGTGATTGGGCATTCTTTATTCTATTTTTGCCACATTCACTAAGTTCTGTGGAAATTTTTTCTGCACAGTTCAACCTTTGGAAAGTGAAAAGCCTATTTTTCTTTACCCTCCTTTCACATCAAGCCTGACTTACAGTGAAGTTGCACAATTTCAAAGTCGGGGGGACCTGCCGATTTTAGGTGTGATTTGCAAGACATCTGATACAGATGTCTATGCAAATCGCAAAAAAAATGGTGCATGTACTAATTTTTTAAATCAGTGCAGCTTCGACCAAGTCAGAACCGCACCGATATGATCGCTCCAATTGCGGACAATAGGGTGCAACTTGGCATTAAATTTTCAAGTCGGAGGGCATGCAAATCGCATGCCAAGTTGCATCCAGTGTGAACCAGAGCTTAATGAACCCATTGTCTTCATTGGGGATAGGTTACAGACACTGAAATTTTACCCTGCCTGTTGTATACACTGTATTGCCAAAAGTATTGGGACACCCCTCCAAATCATTGTATTCAGGTGTTCCAATCACCTCCCTGGCCACTGGTGTGAAAAAGCAAGCACCTAGGCATGCAGACTGCTTCTACAACATTTGTAAAAGAATGGTTTGTTCTCAGGAGCTCAGTGAATTCAAGTGTGGTACTGTGATAGGTTGCCACCTGTGCAATAAGTCCATCCGTGAAATTTCCTTGCTACTAAATATTCCATGGTCAACTGTTAGTGGTATTATAACAAAAGGGAAGCAACTGGGACCAACAGTAACTTAGCCACGAAGTGGTAGGCCATGTAAAATGACAGAGCGAGGTCAGCACATGCTGAAGCGCACAGTGCGCAGAAGTCGCCAGCTGTCTGCAGAGTCAATAGCTAAAGACCTCTAAACTTCATGTGACCTTCAGATTAGCACAACAACAGTGCGTAGAGAACTTCAAGGAATGGGTTTCCATTGCCGAGCAGATGCATCCAAGCCTTAAATCACCAAGTGCAATGCAAAGCGTTGGATGCAATGGTGTAAAGCATGCCACCACTGGACTCTAAAGCAGTGGAGATGTGTTCTCTGGAGTGATAAATCATACTTCTCTGTCTAGCAATCCCATGGATGTGTCTGGGTTTGGCGGTTGCCAGGAGGATGATACTTGTCTGACTACATTGTGCCAAGAAGTAAAGTTTAGTGGAGGGGGGATAATGGTGTGGGGTTTTTTTTTCAGGGGTTGGGCTTGGCCCCTTAGTTCCAGTGAAGGGAACTCTAAAGGCGTCAGCATACCAAGATATTTTGGACAATTTCATGCTCCCAACTTTGTGGGAACAGTTTTGGGATGGCCCCTTTCTGCTCCAACATGACTGCGCATTAGTGTACAAAGCAAAGTCCATAAAGATATGGATGAGCGAGTTTGGGGTGGAGGAACTTGACTGACTTGACCTCAACCCGATAGAACACCTTTGAGATGAATTAGAGCGGAGACAGCAAGCCAGGCCTTCTCGTCTGACATCAGTACCTGACCTCACAAAGGCGCTTCTGGAAGAATGGTCAAACATTCACATAGTCACACTCCTAAACCTTGTGGATAGTCTTCCCAGAAGAGTTGAAGCTGTTATAGCTGCAAAGGGAGGGATCAAGTCAAAATTAAACCCTACGGACTAAGACTGGGATGCCATTAAAGTTCATGTGTGTGTAAAGGCAGGTGTCCCAATACTTTTTGCAATATAGTGTATCTTCTGCCAATAGACCTGATATAGAATGATGAGTACAATCGACCCTTTACGGAACTCACTTATTTAAAGCATATTCTTAGTGGGAGCCAAACAAATGACACATTTTGCATGTCTTTAATCAGTTTCAAATGGCCTTGTGTATTACCAGATCTGTGCTATTTTCAATAAAAAGTGCTAAAGAGCCACTAGTTAAATCTTGTACTTAGGCATTGCATTCAGGACCATATCCTGACACTTGTGTTCAATGATAGGCATACTCACTGCTGTGTCTGCAAACCTTATTTGCACTGCCAAGTCAGCTCAAGTCATCTTGTAGGGAGGCTGAGTGCACACCAGACAGCTAAACAGAAAAGCATGCATGCACAGACATCATACATGTCTGCTGATCTGCATTCACTGTGCATCAAATGAAACATAGGTGCAAGGATATATCAAGATATATGAGCTCTAAGATCTGTGTATTTCCTTAGTTGCTGTTTCACCATAAATGTTTTTTTTTAAGAAAACCTATTAGTTGGTAGAAATAATAATAAATGCCACTTAATCTACAATCAAATGTGCATTCTTTTGGACATCGGGCATTCCTTCTTTCCTATTATTCCAAGTCTACGTGTGGAAATGACCTTAAGGCCGTACCAGAAAGGCAGCTACCCAAAGCCTAAGAAGGTTTACCACCAGTATCCACCATTGGGCACAACCGACTGGAGGGATATCTCCCTATCCACCCACACAACTACCCATCTATGACGAGTGACTGATCCAGTCAGTCCAGCGCAGTCCTCAGCACAAACGAAATGTTGGTTGGTAGAGTTATCGTTGATACACAAAGTCTTATTCGGTAAAGCATCCAATGACCAGCAGTGATGAGTGCAGCAATCCATACTTTAGATGTTAAATATTGGCTTGCGATTAGTCTGTTTGCTCTGAGTTTCTTCACTTTTCAGGATATCATTACTTGTTGCTCTTCCAGATTGAATATACCCAGTATTGAGAATTTTTAGCTTTTTTCTGCCCTGGGTTATTGCACTTTGCTAACATTTATATTACTTGTAGACCCTCAGCTGCAGAGTTACTCACCAGCAGTGTTTTCAGCACTGTGTCTCCTGGTTACATACCTTTTCGACAGCCAGCTAGTCTGTTTTCCTCAGCGTTAAGATGTGCTGACCTCGACTTACCTGAAGACATCAGTCTCCTATGTAAAGGTACAGTGACTATTGAGTGTGTGAGTTTATCAACTATGAATGTACACTGTAATAAAGGGTTATCTTTAGAGTTTGTTTTCCTTTTTATAGATGAAGACAGTGACTTTTTGGCAGAAAGGTCCATTGAAGAGGTATATTACCTCTGGTGTTTAGCTGGAGGAGATTTGGAAAAAGAGCTGGTCAGCAAAGGAATTATTAGATCCAAGCCACCTGTCTGCACATTGCCAAAGTAAGTGGAAAAATAATAACAGCAACTTTATAGAGTAATAACTCTGTTTATGAAATTCATTCTGTATATAGCACCATAGAGCCATCTTAAAGCAGAAAGTATTTGCATGTCTTATTCCATTACTTATTTCATTCCTCATTTTAGGACAGCAGGCAGAGCCATGCAAATCATTCCTTTATGCCCCAATGGCCAAATCACCATCCAGAACTGCTGGTGTATAGTGCACATATTTGCTAATTTTAGAGAGCCTTTGTTTGAGCCTTTTGTTCAAAAATGCATACAGATGCTTTTTGACCATCATCAGTGCAGTGTATGGAAACCATGACTACTATAGAGTATTGCTTGGGATCCAGTAAAACTGTTGGGGATATGTGATGAACATGTGAATACATTCGGTTTTAGGAAGGTTCATTTGAGCTATGCACTGATTCGGCTGGAGGGCTTTGTGGTTCCTTACGTCTCCTCTCACCATAACTGTGATGATGGAAAATAATGTCTCAAATTTTAGGGATGCAAAATGGTTCAGACTCTGCTGCTTTTCTGCGTCTTCCAGATCAATGACAATGGTCAATAGTAAAGACAGGATGGGAGCACCAGAGACCTTGTTTTCCTTAACTAACACTTTGGTTTTCTAGTATGTACCCTACTCTTCCCTTTACTGTGTTCCCCACCACCACAGCCCTGATAAAATTCCAGTATTTGCATAGAATTTTGGGGGCTATACAGTGAGATAGACTGGGACAGCTAAGAAGTATGCTTGAGGTATGAGCAGGCAACCAATCTAGCATTCTACAAAGCCCAAGATTAGTTAAGTAAGTTTGTACTGAGTATAGGTTTACCTAAAAACTGGGACCGCAGTAACAGCGCCCATTATTTGTCAGATACAGTATATTGCCTCCCAGAGACATGGCAGAACAGGTTTTATTTTCCTATTATACTTAAACCAATTTATAGCATGTATTTTACACATTTGTAACACAGAATATGTTTTCTTAAAACTTGCTTTATGTTGTTTTGTTTTATTGTGTTGCCAAAAATGTTTTTTAAATCTGAAACAGTATATATATAGCAAATGTACACCAGAAAGTACTTAATCATATTTTTTCGTTTTGACATAGATGTTTATTTTTAATTCTTGAACAGAATGGTTATTAGAAAACACACAACAGATTGCACTGTTTTTTTTATCTATCTCTAATTTAGGTGTTGGCAAATGCTTTGTTTTGAATGCTATATTTGATGGATGTTTTGTTTGTGTTTTTATTGGCAATAAAATGTTGTATATCAAGTCTTAATTGCAAATTTGTTAATCATTTTGTAGCTGCTGTCATCTTTAATAACTGTGGTCAAGAAAAGGCCATTGAGGGATCGCTCATGTGTGTTTGTGTTCATAGATTACCATAGATAAGACCCCCAAAGTTGCATCAGACAGTACAACAAAAGTTATACACAAAATATGATCTTGGAAAAATGTAGGGGGCTAAATACACCACTGGTATATACATCAATAGCTACAGTACACATAAATCCACTTTGTGTGCACCAAATGTCTTTGTAAACCCAGATATTATCTTGTAAAAGTAATAGTGACATAATCACTGTGGTGTACATACAGTTGTGCTCAAAAGTTTGCATACCCTGGCAGAAATTGTGAAATTGTAGCATTGATATTGAAAATATGACTGATTATGCTGAAAAATGCTCTTTCATTGAAGGATGATGATCATATGAAGCCATTTATTTCAAATAGTTGTTTGGCTCCTTTTTAAATCGTAATGATAACTGAAATCACCCAAATGGCCATGATCAAAAATGTATATACCCTGGAATGTTTGGCCCTTGGTACAAACACACAAGATGACACACACAGGTTAAAATGCCAATTAGAGGTTAATGTCCCACATCTGTGGCTTTTTAAATTGCCGTTAGTGTCAGTGTATAAATAGTCAATGAGTTTGTTTGCTCTTACGTGGAAGCACTGCCTAGGCTAGATACTGAGCCATGGGGATCAGAAAAGGACTGTTAAATGTCCTGCATAACAAGGTAATGGAACTTTATAAAGATGGAAAAGGACATAAAAAGATGTCCAAAGCCTTGAATATGCCAATCAGTACTGTTAAATCACATATTAAGAAGTGGAAAGTTTGGGAATACCAAGCCAAGGTCAGGTAGACCAAGAAAGATTGCATCGGTCATGCACACAAAGACTGACAGTTCCACACATGTGAGGTTTTGCCAAGAACGTCAGATCGAGGGCAGTAGTTCTAGAATTAGACCTCCTCTGTAAATCTAAAGTGGTAACCTGTAAATGCTTTTAAAGCGTCGCCTGTGAATTGTAAAATTTAAGTCGTTTGTCAATGTTGCACAAGTATGCGCAGTTTTAAAGTGTGACATATTGGGTTATGTATTGTGGGGTTTTTTTTGCACTAAAAATTTAAAAAAGTGCATTTTTTCCCCAAAAAAAATAGTGTTTGAAAAACCACTGCACAGATGCCGCGTGACTTAAAAAAAATGCAAAACACACACATTTATTTTCTAAGGCTTCTGCTTTAAAAAAATATATAAACAGTTGTGGGTTCTAAGACATTTTCGTGCAAAAAATACTGATTTTAACATGTAAACAAAAAGTGCCAGAAATGGCCTTCAGCAGTGGTTAAAATGGTACATCATTTCAGTTTAATGAGATCATTTAATCATTGCATTCTGTTTATATGTAGACTTTACAGAGCATCCCAATTTTTTTGTAATTGGGGTTGTAGATGTAAACACTTCAACTGTATCTTTAGACAAGACTTCAATAATTGTGGGTAGAGTTGTGGGGAGTGGTTAGAATCAGGTGTGTCACCATTACTAGATTTACCCTCACCTCCTGTTCCTGTTGGAGTTCCCATCAATTTCAGTCTACATTAAAATGGTCACTAGGACAAAACAGAAAGGACTAATCTCCCCAGTGGGGCCATAGACGGCAATAAAAACCCTGGCAGGGGTTGGGACCTATTCCACCTGTTTTCAAAACCTAAAAAACAGTTTGACTAGGGGTACACTTTCAGCATAGAGCAACATTGCTGTTTCTTAAGTTTAGTGTCAAAAAAATTAACCATTTGCCCTCCATAGGATTTACCCTCCTTCCTAACCAGGCCATTTTTGCGATACGGCGCTGCGTTACTTTAACTGACAATTGCGCACTCATGCTACGCTGCACCCAAATGAAATTAAATGTATGTCCTTTTTTTCCCACGAATAGTATTTGAATGGTATTTGACCGCCTGTGCGTTATTTATTTTATGTGCTATAAACAAGAAAAGACCTGCAATTTTGAGAAAGAAAATCAATATTTTTCACTTTTTGCTATTAAACAAGTTTAGTAAAAAAATTTAAAAAAAATTATTATATTTTGACAAATTTTGGCCAAAGTGTATTCTGCTACATCTATGCTAAAAAAATCAGAATACTTGTAAATGAATTGGTTTATGTGAAAGTTATAGCATTTACAAATGGCGGTATATATACTAGTATTTTTTTTTTTTTTTTTACCAGTTATGGCAGCGGTCAGCGACTTATAGAGGGACTGCGGCAGGCATTCTGATACTGGTGGGAACTGACTTGGCGTCACTGACATCCCCAGTGACACCAATACAGTGATCAGTGCTAATAAAAAGCATGTGGGGTGAACAAAGGGTTAACTGTGTGCTGTTTTACTGTGTGTTGTGTTAGTGCTATGCAGAACCATACAAAGCAGTGTGCTGGAGCTGACAGGAGAGATCAGTATTGTTTACATACAGTTCTCTCCCCTCCGTCGGTAATGCTCGGTAATCAGCGATTGCCGGCGAGTAATCACTGTCCAGGACCCGGTGACTGACAGCCGAGGCCGCAAACAGCACGCCCCCTACCTGGCGATGCAAAATCATGTATATATACACGTGATTTTGCACACCCCTGCCACCCTGTAGCAATATATCTGCTGTAGGGTGGTGGAAAAGCGGTTAATGTTTACATACACAGTTCCACAGGACGTATTAGATGTATAAGTAATTATCAATCAAATATCAATTTTAGATATTGAAAATGACAATTCAGTGTTCTATCTATCTATATATATATATATATATATATACACACACACACACACACGCACACAATTAAGTCACTAGGTGGCAGCATGATGCAATTTAGACGTAGGAAAGAAGCACCTGCATTGTAACTGGGAAGAGAAAAGGTAAGAGGTGAATACAGAACTTGATGGTTCCAATGTTGGAGGTTCTGAAGTGCTTAAGGTTTACTTATCTTGTTTGCTTCCATACCATTTTTTTCCTCTGGTAGAGCTAGCAGGTCATCTTAGAAAAGTAGTGTTGTATGCTCAGCAGTCTCTGAGCAATTCAGAATTTCCCAATAACCTAATTGACTTCTAGTAGCCATACACATCCTGGGTGAGACTTAGGAACATGGAGAGGCTTATCTTGTGCAGGAAACTAGAATTCATGAAAGCTAATATCACTTTTGTCAAAAAAGTGGCATATTGTGTTGTACTAGACCTCAGGTTCATTATAAAGACCCTTCACAAAAAAAAGATTATATCCTAACTGTATAGGATTAGTACTTGTAATGATTGTATTCATTATATGAAATGTGATTATTCATATTTCACAAGCTTTTTTGTGTGTGTATTTATTTTTTCTTAATTACGTGCAGACCAAGCAGTCTATCAAAAGTGACAGTAACAGGTTGAGACAAACTATAACACTAGTGGTGGCTCCCCTGCTAATGTTTCAGTCTCCTTCTGGTTTTTTTCCGGGTTTGGCGTATTCGGCATCTTGATTAACCACCCCGAGATGAACTTATTACTGTGTGTATATTGGACTTAAACTGTTTTCACACTGATCAGTTTTTCTTCCATTTTTATCTTACCAACAGCGGAAGAAAAATGTGCGTCCATTAAATCCTGTGGAGCTCTTCACACCAGTCAGTTGCATTTGTAAAAGTCCTTCTTGCTGCATTTTGGTGCATGTTTGGTGCTTTTTTAAAAAAAAAAATGCATCTCCCCAATGAAATGAATGGAAAATGCATCAAAAACGCATAAAAATGCACCCGCAATTGCGTTTTTGGTGCATTTTTGGAGTCACATGTCCTTTTTTTTTTTCACAGGTGTAAAAGCACCAGAAATGTGACAAAAAATGCTGCAAAAGCACATATGCATTTTATTGCTTTATTTTTTTGCAACGGAACAGTGTTAAAGCAGTTTTAAAGTGGTTCTTTTTACCCCTAATGCATTCCCTGCATTAAAGCGTAATTAAACACAAAAGCAAACACTTTTTATATTGCAACTTCTTCTAAAGTGGAGTTCCACTCACCCTGTCAAAAAGTAAAAGTCAGCAGCTACTGCTGACTTTTAAAAAACAGCCACTTACCTGTCCCTTGGTCCTGTGGTGTGTCCCTCGTAGCCCATTTCACTGGTCGTCCTGTATTCCAGGAGGCCGGCATCTTCAGTGTGGGCACCCGGCTGTGATAGCTTGCGGCATGCGCGAGTAGTGCTGTGCTTCATAAATGGTCCTGTAGTCTTCTAGGACCTGTCATGTGTCCCAAAAGACTACAGGGAGGGAGAGAGGGAGGACACCTTCCGTTTCCAATTGCCTAGGCGATCGGACCGGAAATGGGAGCAGGTGCCTGGCCTAGGTGCCAATCCTTAATGGGGAGTGGGGGAGCAGTCCTTAAAGCGGAACGTCCCCTTTTAGGTGGAGCTCCGCTTTAAGTTTGACAGCTGCATGTCTGTTTTCTTTTTTTTCGGCTTTCTTTCCTTTACTCCTGGTGATCTGGCCAGCAAGTCTGTTGTTTGTCAACAAAACAAGCTGTTCTGTAGATGTAGCACCTAGAGCGGGTGTCGGCAACCCGCGGCTCCAGAGCCGCATGCGGCTCTTTTTCATCTTTGCTGCGGCTCCGGAGCACACTGCCCACCAGGTGGTCGGCAAGCCGCAGATCGCGAGCCACATGCGGCTCTTCTGTGTGCCGGGCGCCCGCTCCCCTCCCTCCTCAAAAATCCGGCCCGCGGAGCGTGGAACATTGGCTGTCAGGATGTAGGTGGGGCAGCCAGGATGTAGGCGGGCAGAGTGACGAACTCCTCTCTCAGTCCGCCCTGAAGACCAGAACGGCGCGGGAACACAGCGAGAGGAACGCGCGGAGCAAAGGTAAGTGAATTGAGACAATATGGGGGATGAATTACTATGTGGGGGATGAATTACTGTGTGGGGGATGAATTACTATGTGGGGGATGAATTACTATGTGGGGGATGAATTACTATGTGGGGGATGAATTACTATGGGGGATGAATTACTATGGGGAATGAATTACTATGTGGGGGATGAATTACTATGGGGGAAGAATTATTATATGGGGGATGAATTACTATGGGGGAAGAATTACTATATGGGGGATGAACTACTATGGGGGAAGAATTACTATATGGGGGATGAATTACTATATGGGGGATGAATTACTATGGGGGATGAATTACTATGTGGGGGATGAATTACTATGGGGGATGAATTACTATATGGGGGATGAATTACTATATGGGGGATGAATTACTATGGGGGATGAATTACTATGGGGGATGAATTACTATGGGGGAAGAATTACTATATGGGGGATGAATTACTATATGGGGGATGAATTACTATGGGGGAAGAATTACTATATGGGGGATGAATTACTATATGGGGGATGAATTACTATGTGGGGGATGAATTACTATGGGGGATGAATTACTATATGGGGGATGAATTACTATATGGGGGGATGAATTACTATGGGGGATGAATTTACTATATGGGGGATGAATTACTATGGGGGATGAATTACTATATGGGGGATGTATTTTCAGTTTTAAAAATGTGGCTGTCAAAATAAATTTCAATCGTGGTTTTGGCGAGATTTGGCTCAGTTGAAAAAAAAGGTTGCCCACCACTGACCTAAGGCTATGATTGTGATTATGAAGATACACTGTGGCCCTGATTAACCCTTTGCTTACTGGGCCCTTAAACCCCCTTCATGACCAGAGTGCTTTTTGCAATATATGCAGTGTCGGATTTGTTATAAATGTTGCAATGGTTTTTGCGGCTCCCAGTCTTTTTATTCCCTTCGGAAACGGGTCCAAGTGGCTCTTTATGTCTTAAAGGTTGCAGACCCCTGACCTAGAGGGTTGAGACAAGCCATTTATCACGGATAGGGCTGCTTACAATGGTCAGCTTTTATTTTTTTATGTAAACTTTTTATCCCAAAGGAACAAACCTGTTGCTGTAACTGTTTATAAAGTGTGAGCTGAAGTTTGGATTCAATTTGTTAGTGTTTTTAAGTTGACAAATACACATAACACTCCCCTCTCTCCATACTGACAATGCTGCTGTCCAAACGTTCCCCTGTGGTTCATTATCCAGAGTGGGAGCACTCTAATACAGGAGGTGTGTTACTGGCCATATCACCAGTTGAAAACAGAGGGAAAAAATTAAAAAAAAAAGAAAGCTAATGCAGCCACCACATCTAAGGTTAAATGTATTACAGTTTTGTGTTTGGGCTTAATACTTTTTTAAGGTAACAAAACATCCCACTAGCTCTTCTACCGCACCATAAACACTTACCTGGCTGCTTTCACCACTCCAATGCTGTCCTGTCTGCAGCACCACTCCACTGTCTACTTTCCACTCCAAAGGCTCCTGCTACTGTTAGTCAAACTCTTGTGAGAAGGGAGCAGCAGCGGGGCTTACTGGTGCAGTATGTGTCTATGGGTGCACAGAGCCCGCCTCTGGACACGCCTGCACAGGTGCCCCAATAGCATATGACTTGCTATGGGCGCACCCACAGGATGGACAGCACTGGTGGGGGACCCACCCCCAGTGCACAGGGTAGGTAGGTATTATTATTTTTATTAAATAAAATCTTTAACCTTTTAATATCACTTTAATTCATCTTAGCACAAAAGCATGCCAAGACTGTGCACAAAGCATGTATATTCAGAAGAAATATTGCTAGAAGGCAGATAAGATGCTTTTATTGCAATAGAGATATGCAGAATAAAAAGCCTTTGTGTGTGATTATGCAGCTATAGTTCTACTTTAAATCATGGGAAATTTAACCTCCCCTAGCTGTGTTGTAATGTTTAAAACATGTTTAACTTCATATAAGATTACAATATTTTTACAATACCTGTCCTTTACATTAATCCCTGTTGTTTATGAAAAAGAAAACACTACCCATTTGGATGGTTCCAGAACCTGCTTTAACATCCGACAGTTTTCTATTCCCACAGCTTTCTGGTCTTCAGAATGTTAGTGCTGAAAGTATTTACAGGCTCACCTTTTGATAAGAGGTTAAGACTTTCATCAGATAACCCTGCATGCATACCATTTGATTGTAGACAGAGTTGATGCGATCACTGTTTTCTTTATTGGTTTTCGCCTCTTTTTTTTTTTTTTATAGCCTCCTATTAGAAGATGGAGAAAGTTTTGGTCAAGGTAGAGACAGAAGTTCCCTCCTAGATGACACAACTGTTACTTTATCATTGTGCCAACTACGAAATGTAAGAGCAGAAGCCTATTGATTTTTAAAGTAAACATTTGATATCTCTTCACATGTCTAATCAAAGTCTAGTTAATTTAAATGTGCACACTAACAATGACCTATTATTTGATCCCTTTGTTTAGTTAAAAATTACACTGAAAGCATTTCATTATACAGTATCTGTTCTGTAAGTGCAAAAAAAACCAACATGTTGATCCTGCCAAAAATCCTCTGAGCTCATTACTGTAGCTGTGCACTCTGCCTTTGCTGCATTGATCTCAAGCAGTGGTAACTGCCCTGCCTACACTCACCAGCCACTTTAGTAGGTACACCTTGCTAGTGTCAAGAAAATATCCCCCACACCATTGCACCCCCACCACCACCAGCCTAAACCATTGAAAAAAAAGGTAGGATGGATCAATGCTTTCGTGTTGTTTACTCCAAATTCTGACCCTACCATCTGAATGTTGCAGCAGTCAGTGTGCCCATTCTCCTGACCTCTGACATCAACAAAGTGTTTTTGTTCACATAACTGCCTCTCACTGGATATTTTCTATTTTTTGGACCATTCTCTGTAAAGCCTAAAGATGGTTGTGCGTGAAAATCCCAGTAAATCAGCAGTTTTTGAAATACTCAGACCAGCCCGTCTGGCACCAATAACCATGCCACGTTCAAAGTCACTTAAATCCCCTTTCTTCCCCATTCTGATGCTCAGTTTGAACTTCAGCAAGTCGTCTTCGACATGTCTAGATGCCTAAATACACTGAGTTGCTGCCATGTGATTGGTTGATTTGTGTTCCAAGCAATTGAACAGATTTACCTAATAAAGTGGGTGGTGAGTGTAATTTGTCTTTGTGAATTGCAAAAGACCTCCTTTCTATGTTATAGGGAGCATTATTTGTTCTGTAGTCCTGCCCTAAGGTGACAGAGCTGCTTCTCCTGTGGCACAGTATATAAAGAGACTGGGAACCAGCAATGTATTCCTATTTTGTTCTACGGTTTATATACACTTTTTTGGTTCGAACACTTTGGTGCTCCGTAGGCTGATTGCAATGCCCTACCTGCAGTTTTAAAGTGTACATGTCACATTTTCCTGTATGTTGTAGAAGGGACTTTGCGTTGCCTTATAATGTTATTTAGGGTCTGTTTTAGGCAAGTACTGGACCTCTGCTTACTCATGGGACTGACATCTGACAGTGGTAATATCACAACCTCCCCTTATATTCGCTTACTACTGTCTTGTACTACTAGCTCTTTTTACAGGGGAACTTGCATGCAATAGTTAAAGATAGTTATTTAGAGGTTGTATAATAAATTACCATATCACCCAGTAGATGGCCTCCAATGCCTGCAAGACTATAGTTGCCTTGTATTCTCAATTTTTTTTCTCTCCCCATTTTGTATTTTTTTTAAGTGGAACTAAACCATTTTATTGTTTATAGCCAAGGAAGCTGCGATCTTAGCCTCTGTTTGATCTGCAGTTGTTTATGTGGTGCTGCACATGTGATCAGTTGTGATGGCAATTATTTTATGGCGTAACAGTTCGGTTGAGAGCACAAGCAACTAAGACAGTTTTTATTCACAGCATGCCTTGAATTTAATTGTTTTGGGAATCCATTAAATAAATAGGTTTAGTTTTGCTTTAATATCAAACACTGTAAAGCCAGTATTTATATAAATGCAGGCTCCCAGCAGAGTTAGTGATTAGCAGCAAAAGAAATACAAGGGCTCAACCAAATGTAATGCATAAGTGGGCATAACTTTATTGTTAACTTGCATAGGTCATTTAAATGTCACATATTCGTAGAGTAACTCTTCCTCTATAGCATGGGGTCTTCAAACTTTCTTAACAAAGGGCCAGTATCCTGTCCTTCAGACTGTAGGGGGGCCAGACTGCTGCCAGTGGGAGCAGAACATTTCCTGGTGTCAGTGGGAGTAAAAAATGCCCCATGTTGGTAAAGGTGCTAGGAATAGTGCCCAATTGTTAGTGTTATTCGAAGGAAATTTGCCCCTGCATTGGTGTCAATGGGAGTGCATATGCCCAATTGTTGAGTTAGTGAGAGGAATTGTCCCCCATCATTGGTGTCATTGGGAGGAATTGTGCCCAACTGTTTGTTTCATTGAGAGGAATTGTGCCCCAGTGTTGGTGTCATTGGGAGGAATTGTGCTCCTTCATTGATGTGATTGGGAGGACATATGCTCAGTTGTTGGTGTCAATGGGAGGACTTCTGCCCAATTTTTGGTATCAGTGGATGGAATAGTGCTCGAAGGGCTAAATAAAAGGAAGCAAAGGGCCCGCAGTTTTACGACTCTTCTTCATTTTCATTGTGGGTATATAATGGATGCCAAGCAGAGGTAACATGCTATCACTGAGTTCTTGACGAAGGAGGGGTTCAGGCTGTCCAACATCTACAGAAAGCAACAGAATGTTTATGGCGATGACACCATTGACAAGAGTCACCAGTATTTGTCAATGGTGTCATCTCTGTAAGCATTCTGAAGCCTACTGTGAATGTCAGAAAGCCTACAGTTGCAAGAAAAAGTATGTGAACCCCTTGGGATTACGTGGAGTTTTGCATGATTTGAGCATAAAATGTGCTCTGAACGTCATCTAAGTCACAACAATAGAAGAACACAGTCTGCTGAACATAATACTACACAAACATTAGATGTTGCCATGGTTTCATTGCACATAACATGTAAACATTCACAGTGCAGGGAGGAAAACTTTTTTGTGAGGCCCTAGCTTAATGACTTCTCCCAGAGCTAATTGGAGCCAGGAGTGAGCCAACCTTGACTCCAATCAGTGTGATGATATTGGATGTGTTGCTGACAGCTGTCCTGCCCTTAAAAAACACACACCTGTTTTGGGTTTACTGGTTTCAAGAAGCACTGTCTGATGTGAACCATGCCTCACAGAAAAGAGCTCTCAGAAGACCTACGATCAAGAATTGTTGACTTGCATGAAGCTGGAAAGGGTTACAAAAGTATCTCCAAAAGCCTTGATGTTCATTTGTCCACGGTAAGATAGACTGTCTACAAATGGAGAAAATTTAGCACTGTTGCTACTCTCCCTAGGCGTTGTCGTCCTGTAAAAATGACTGCAAGAGCACAGCGCAGAATGCTGCATGAGGTAAAGAAGAATCCCAGAGTGTCAGCTAAAGACCTACAGAAATCTCTGGCACATGCTAACATTTTTGTTGACACATCTACAATAAGGAAAACATTAAACAAGAATGGAGTACATGGGAGGACACCACGGAGGAAGCCATTGCTGTCCAAAAAGAATATTGCAGCACGTTTGAAGTTTGCAAAAGAGCACCTGGATGTTCCACAGCACTACTGGCAAAATATACTGTGGACAGATGAAACCAAGATTGAGTTGTTTGGGAAGAACACACACAACACTATGTGTGGAGAAAAAAAGGCACAGCACACCAACATCAAAACCTCATCCCCACTGTAAAACATGGCGGAGGGAGCATCATGGTTTGGGGCCGCTTTGCTGCCTCAGGGCCTGGACGGATTGTTGTCATTGATGGGAAAATGAATTCCAGAGTTTATCAAGACATTTTGCAGGAAAACGTACGACCATCTGTCCGCCAACTGAAGCAGAGGATGGGTGATGCAACAGGGCAATGACCCAAAGCATACAAGTAATTCAACAAAACAATGGCTGCAACAGCACAGAATACGCCTTCTGGAGTGGCCCAGTCAGAGTCCTGACCTCAAGCCCATTGAAATGCTGTGGCATGACCCTATTGCTACACTGAAACAGTTTTGTGAAGAGGAGTGGTCCAAAATTACTCCAGATCGTTGTGCAGGTCTGATCTGCAACTACAGGAAACGTTTGGTTGAGGTTATTGCTGCCAAAGGAGGGTCAACCAGTTATTTAGTCCAAAGGTTCACATACTTTTTCCTCCCTGCACTGTGAATGTTTATATGTTAAGTGCAATTAAACCATGGCAACATCTAATGTTTGTGTAGTATTATGTTCAGCAGACTGTGTTCTTCTATTGTTGTGACTTAGATGACGTTCAGAGCACATTTTATGCCCAATTCATGCAAAACTCCACGTAATCCCAAGGGGTTCACATACTTTTTCTTGCAACTGTACATCCCTCCTTTGTCAAGAACTCAGTGATGGCACTTTGCTTCTGCTTGGAATTCATTATTTACCTGCAATGAAGAAGAAGAAGAGGTACTATAGAGGAAGAGTTACTTTACCACCATATGATATTTGAATGACCTATGTACAGTTGCAAGAAAAAGTATGTGAACCACTTGGGATTACGTAGAGTTTTGCATGAATTGGGCATAAAATGTGCTCTGAACGTCATCTAAGTCACAACAATAGAAGAACACAGTCTGCTGAACATAATACTACACAAACATTAGATGTTGCCATGGTTTAATTGCACATAACATGTAAACATTCACAGTGCAGGGAGGAAAAAGTATGTGAACCTTTGGACTTAATAACTGGTTGACCCTCCTTTGGCAGCAATAACCTCAACCAAACGTTTCCTGTAGTTGCAGATCAGACCTGCACAACGATCTGGAGTCATTTTGGACCACTCCTCTTCACAAAACTGTTTCAGTGCAGCAATATTCTTGGGATGTCTGGTGTGAATTGCTCTCTTAAGGTCATGCCACAGCATTTCAATTGGGTTGAGGTCAGGACTCTGACTGGGCCACTCCAGAAGGTGTATTTTGTGCCGTTGCAGCCATTGTTTTGTTGAATTACTTGTATGCTTTGGGTCATTGTCCTGTTGCATCACCCATCCTCTTCGGAGCTTCACTTGGCGGACAGATGGTTGTACGTTTTCCTGCAAAATGTCTTGATAAACTCTGGAATTCATTTTCCCATCAATGACAACAATCCGTCCAGGCCCTGAGGCAGCAAAGCAGCCCCAAACCATGATGCTCCCTCCGCCATGTTTTACAGTGGGGATGAGGTTTTGATGTTGGTGTGCTGTGCTGTGCCTTTTTTTCTCCACACATAGTGTTGTGTGTTCTTCCCAAACAACTCAATCTTGGTTTCATCTGTCCACAGTATATTTTGCCAGTAGTGCTGTGGAACATCCAGGTGCTCTTTTGCAAACTTCAAACGTGCTGCAATATTCTTTTTGGACAGCAATGGCTTCCTCCGTGGTGTCCTCCCATGTACTCCATTCTTGTTTAATGTTTTCCTTATTGTAGATGTGTCAACAAAAATGTTAGCATGTGCCAGAGATTTCTGTAGGTCTTTAGCTGACACTCTGGGATTCTTCTTTACCTCATGCAGCATTCTGCGCTGTGCTCTTGCAGTCATTTTTACAGGACGACAACGCCTAGGGAGAGTAGCAACAGTGCTAAACTTTCTCCATTTGTAGACAGTCTGTCTTACCGTGGGCACATGAACATCAAGGCTTTTGGAGATACTTTTGTAACCCTTTCCAGCTTCATGCAAGTCAACAATTCTTGATCGTAGGTCTTCTGAGAGCTCTTTTCTGCTAGGCATGGTTCACATCAGACAGTGCTTCTTGAAACCAGTAAACCCAAAACAGGTGTGTGTTTTTTAAGGGCAGGACAGCTGTCAGCAACACATCCAATATCATCACACTGATTGGAGTCAAGGTTGGCTCACTCCTGACTCCAATTAGCTCTGGGAGAAGTCATTAAGCTAGGGCCTCACATACTTTTTCCTCCCTGCACTGTGAATGTTTACATGTTATGTGCAATTAAACCATGGCAATATCTAATGTTTGTGTAGTATTATGTTCAGCAGACTGTGTTCTTCTATTGTTGTGACTTAGATGACGTTCAGAGCACATTTTTATGCACAATTCATGTAAAACTCCACGTAATCCCAAGGGGTTCATATACTTTTTCTTGCAACTGTATATTAATAAAAAAAAGTTATGCCCACTTTTGTATTACTTTTGGTACAGTCCTCATATTTCCTTTGCTGCTAAATCACTAACTCAGATAGATTTAGTTCTGCTTTTAATGCAGGCTTCCATCAATTAAATGGTTACTTTTGGTACAGCCCTTGTATGAGTTGGTTCCTTTCACTTTATTAACCGTACAAACAATATTAGGTCGCTATCATTTGTTATCTACACATCTTGTCTGAGTATGACTGTGGAAACTGCCACATGTGGTTCCTTTTTTATATGCTATTTTCTAAATGCAGATGTTTGTGCTTTAGCGATCTGTGTTTTATTTTTTTTTAATCCTTCAGAGATTAAAAGATGTGCCTGGGGAAGCGTTTTATCCCTTACTGGGAGAAGAGTGAGTATGACATTTTTTTTATCCAGTAACTGTTACAGCTATATTAAATCAGGTGTGTAAAAAGAGCAGTTACATGAGTTCACTGTGAACATATGTTCATTTTAATGTTTTCTTACCTTTGTATCGCTCCCACAGGGAGAGAACTCATCAAATTACTGATACGTTTATGCCACTTTATACATATGGTGTTCACTTTGAGTGACCTGAAAAGTAGTGAATATGAATGAACTGCTGAGCAAAAAAAATGTGCAGTGACATGTTAATGTCACACTGATCATCTTTATTTATAAATGACACCCTGGAGAGCGAGATGAGTTAGACAAGGATAGGTTAGAACCGTTATTGGCATGGCACTGCAGCGAGGCACAGCATGTCATTACCAGATGGGATACGCACTTATGTAACTAGCTTGTAATTTGTTCTTGTCTCTCTAATCACTTTGCAGCCAATCAAATGTCCCTCACTCTGGTAGTAATACCGAGCTCTCTACCTCCACGCTTCCTCTCATTATCAGGGAGAGGGACACAGAGTATCAACTCAACAGGATTGTCCTATTTGACAGGCTTCTTAAGGTTAGTACTTCCCAGTATTATATTCTTCTAATTTAGCATGTTTCTGAATACAGCTGTACACTAAGCAAACTTGTCAGGGCACTTCAAACTAAGCAAATGAAACAAAATATATAAGCTTGTCAATACAATCAGTAGATTCAAAGATGTAGGCAGCTAAAGCCATATACAAATGTCAAGTTTGGCTGCACCTCTCCCAACTCCTTACCTCCCATTACAGTAAAGAACCAAAGTTGAAAACTGGTAGATGACAGGATTGGGTCCATTTTCAACATTTAAAGTGAAGATTTGCTATCTTCTACTGTATGTAACCTCTAAATATGCCTAACCCTGAAAAATGTAACATTTATCTTGATTTTCTCCCTAAAATAGCAGTGTAGTTCCTGTGCTTGCAGATATGTGCAGTGTGGAAGGCACTGCTGCCTCTGCCTGCTAGTATCACAAGATTTAGGACACCTGTTGCACAGTAGAATCACCAAACATCACTCTATGCGATCTGCGATTACCTGAACACCAACGCATGTGCAGTGGTGTTAAAAAAAAATGCAGCTCAACAGGGCTGGTGGGAATACACTCTTAGGCTATGTTCACACTAGCCTTGTGTGCAGGCGGCAGAGAGGCGTTTGGGAAGCGTTTTTACCGCTTCCCAAACGCCTCTGCCAATTCTGCACATTACAGCACATGGTGCTGTTCTAACGGGAGCGTTTGCGTCGCGTCGCGGCAAAACGGACGCCTCTGGACGAGTCAGGAGGCTTTGAAGCCTCCTATTCTCGTCTATGGTGCCGCTCCGCAAACGCCCGGCTGGCGTTTTGCGGTGCGGTTGCGACGCGGTTGCGGGGCGTTTGCGGAGCGGTAACACCACTCAAACTGCATTATAGGCGTTTGTGGGGCGTTATTAACGCTCGACAAATGCCTAGCAACCGCCGCTAAACCGCGCATGCGGCGTTTGAGGAGCGTTTGCCGAGCGTTAAAAAACGCTCCGCAAACGCCGGACCAACGCTTGCCAAACGCTATAGGGGCGTTTGGCAAGCGTTGGCAAAACAGCCTAGTGTGAACGAGCCCTTAGAGTGACGTTTGGTGATGCTGCTGTGCTTCTTGCAGAAGTGGAATCTGTACCTGAGGACCAGAACTGCATGTATCTCCTGCTTTTTTTTTGTTTGTTCTGTGAATCCATGCTGTTTACACCTGTTCTGCCACTATCTGAATATTATCCCATCAGTTATCAGATCCCCAGTCACCAAGGGAAAGCTCAGACTTGAGGAAGCAAAAACTGTCTCTTCTACCACCTTTGTGGTCGCCTCCACAAAGAGACATAGAGAAGAACAAGTCACTGTAAGGCAGTAATTGGGACCAGATCAGCTAGTAACAAAAGTACTGCTGTAACTTACCAAAGGCCATACAATCCATGTACTGATGTGTCAGTATATAAAGTGAACTTGCACCTATTCTTACCTTTCTTAAAGAAATTGCTGCTTCAGGTTTTTTTTGTGATATTAACATATGTCAGTACTAACGCACATTCCTGTTCAGCAAAGATCATATGACCAAGTGCTTATCATCCAAACATGTGGCCAGTACTGGAGGTAGCTCAGAGCAGCGTTTTCTCCAAGAGAACTATTTCAGCTTTTGTGTGTCTTTATTCATTTTAAAAAAAAAGTTAACTAAGCTTGATATGACTATAATAATTTCCTGCTGTTGTATGAGTTCTTTTAGCACATGAATACTTTTTCATTAACCATAATGTATTGGTCCAGTCAGCTCAGCTAACAGAATAATCACAGTCACAAACTTTATAAAGCCCAATTCCGGGAAGCTTAAAAAATACTTTTGCAGTGGGCAGTACCTGCACTGCGAGGGTTAACTGCTTGTTTTGTCTAGGTAAGACAAGAAGCAGTTCAATACACCTGATTCTCCACTTGCCCAGCAGGCAGTGCTCCCACACATTTTGCAGTAGACCGCCCATTGGCATGATCATGTCCAGTGCAGGACTGTGGGTTCTGCATTGGTTATGATGACATTGGTACCTTAGACCAATGGACTGGGGGGGAATGAAAGATCTTTCTTCTAGATCCCCTAGACCTAAATTAGCAATGCACCCATGCCGTGCGGGTGCAACCCCACTGCAAGAGGTCCTTTTTAAGTTTTGCAGGACTTGGGCTTTAGGTTGATGTATAGCCAAAACTTGGGGTAAAAGGGTGAAATCCTACCCCACTACAGAAAGTAAGAGGAAATCTGTACAAAGTGAGGGGAGTTCCTCTTGTCATGTCCCGATCTCAAGACTTTTCCAAACCTCTTTTTCTGGTGATAACTGTAAAACTTTGGATTTCTCAATATTTTCTGTTTTGGTGATAATTGTCCCCAGGACAAATAAAGAGGGCAATTCCCCCTAATAGGGGCACAGACAGCAATACACATGACATAGGTTCATTCCTTCCCTACTCTGTGTAAAGATAAGAAATATTTTGGTTATGCTAATACTATTAAAGTTGGCACATATTGAAGAATAGCTAAACACTAAACGTTTGTTTTAGACAGAGTGGAGAGGGATTAGAATTCCTATCAGGTTTTTATTGCTATTTCTGCCTCTATTAGGGAGATGCATCCTCTCTATTTGTTCTGTTTTCCATTATTCTTTTCCACTGATAGTGAAAGTAAAAAAAAATCCCAAATTTTTGGTTGTCCCGAGAACAGTAATAGAGGGAAAATCTTCCAATGGGGACACAAGTTGTGGTGACCTAGGGGGAGGGAAGGGGGTCAAGAGATTCCCTTATTTTGTAGAGATTTCCCCCCATTTCTTGTTTTGACTGTCAGACAGGAAGTGAAAGGAAATCTCCACAGTGGGACACAAATGGCAAAAAAACCTACAGGTGTTATAACCCTTTTTTTTGTACTCTATCCAAAAAAAAAAAAAAAAAGTTTTGCTTTTAATTCTACTTTAACCACTTGCCCTCCAGACGATTTACCCCCCTTCCTGACCAGGCCATTTTTTGCGATATGGCGCTGCGGTAATTTAACTGCCAATTGCTCAGTCATGCAATGCTGTACATAAATAAAATGTGTGTCCTTTGTTCCCCACAAATAGAGATTTCTTTTGTTGGTGTTTGATCACGTGTGCAGTTTCTATTTTTTGCACTATAAACAAAAAAAGACTGACAATTTTGAAAAAAACAATATTTTTGACTTTTTGCTATAAAACCTATCCAGTAAAAAAATGTAAAAAATATAATTTTGCCATAAATTAAGGCCAAAATGTATTCTGCTACATTTTGCTAAAAAATCCCAATACATGTAAATTAATTGGTTTACGTGAAAGTTATAGAGTCTACAAATGGCAGTATATATACTGGAATTTTTCTTTTTTTGTACTAATAATGGCGGCAATCAGCAACTTATAGCAGGACTGCGGTGGGCATTCTGACACTGGGGGGGGGGGGGAGACTGAATAACTGCCACTGACATCACAATGACACTACTACAGTGATCAGTGCTAATAAAAAGCACTGGCACTCTACCAATGATACTGGTCAGGAAGGGGTTAACATCTGGGGCAATCAAAGGGTTAACTGTGTACTGTTTTACTGTGTGTGCTATGTGTTTTACTAGGGAAACATGCTGCTGTGTATTTCTCTGCTGTGCAGAGAAATACACAGCAGCATGTTACTGCTGGCAGGAGAGAGATCTGTGCTGTTTACACACAGGTCTCTCACCTGTCACTGTTTCTCGGCAATCACCAGGTGCCGGAGGGGAATCTCCGACCGGAACCTGGTGATTGACATCTGTAGCCGCCAACGGTGGCACAGGCGCGCGCCCCCTCTCTGGAAATACAAATCACGTATATATACATGATTTTGTGCAGCCTTGCTGCCCTATAGCAGTATTTCTGCTATCTGAAAAAAAGACCATCCAGTTCAACCAACAGAAAAAAAACACACACAAATTAGAAAACCTCCATATACACAAACCCCACAGTTGATCCAGAGGAAGGCAAAAAACCCCAATAAAGCATGATCCAATTCGCTCCACCAGGAGAAAAACATCTTTCCCCCCCCAAGAGGCAAGTTTGTTATGTAAGTTTGATATGTTGTATTGTTTTAAAATTATATATTTTTTATTTTATGCATGTTCACAAATCTAAAGTTACATTTCTAATTTATACTTTCACACTAATTCACATTTAGCCTAAAAATGTTTCTATTTTTTTCTAAGGCATATCCATATAAGAAAAATTTGATTTGGAAGGAAGCCAGAGTTGACATTCCTCCGCTTTTGAGAGGTTTAACTTGGGCAGCCCTGCTTGGAGTAGAGGTGAGAATCTTTATTATTATTAATTAAATTGGTATATATAGCTTTTGATTCTAAGGGCTCATTCACATATCGGTTGAGGGGCGGTAAAACCCTGCAGCTAACCTATGCTATTACTTCCCACAACCACTACTCCCTTTTGCAACTGCAAAGGCAGCAGGCAGGAGTGTGCACTTGCAGTGGCCGTGAGGCCTTGCTTTGCGAGTGCAGCAGGGATGATACCCTCTGTCACTTTCAGTGGGCATAGCACCTGCCTAACACGACCCATTCAGAGCTCAGTATCTAATGCATACAGTTGCAGCACATTAGTGTGGGATTCAAGGGGTTAAAGCAGGCTGTGGGGAGGCGATATATTGCTCCCTCACCGCCTGTCAAATGCTCTCTTTCAAGCAATCTGAATATGGATCACTCTTTGGATAACAAAGCACATGTGAAAGAGCCCTTGTGGTAGAGGCCAGTTGTTAAATTTGGTTATGATTTCTTGCTATGCTCAGTGTCAGCTTGCCAGTTTGAAGGAAAAAAGAAAATCTTTCTTAATCGCTTTTTTCTTTTTAAAAAGCTGTCACTTGTAGCCTCAACTCTTCCATCTGACACTTTTTTGTTCCTCTCACCACTCACAACAATGTGTCTACAGTATGTAGCAGATATGACCTGAGTTCCCTACAGGTGTTTCTGCAGTGCTCTTCAGGCATTTTGTGCTGAAGACATTTGGAATAAGTATACATTCCAATTGTTTGCGTGGTGTTTCTTTTCAGAGAATCGCAACATAAAATGAATGAGTCTCTCATATGTTAAAAGTTATGCATACTTACAGGTGAAACTCAAAAAATTAGCATATCGTGCAAAAGTTCATTTATTTCAGTAATGCAATTTAAAAGGTGAAACTAATGTATGAGATAGACTCATTACATGCAAAGCAAGATAGTTTAAGCCGTGATTTGTCATAATTGTGATGATTATGGCTTACAGCTCATGAAAACCCCCAATCCACAATCTCAGAAAATGAGAATATTGTGTGAAAAGGTGCAATATTCTAGGCTCAAAGTGTCCCACTCTAATCAACTAATTAAGCCATAACACCTGCAAAGGGTTCCTGAGCCTTTAAATTGTCTCTCAGTCTGGTTCAGTAGGAATCACAATCATGGGAAAGACTGCTGACCTGACAGTTGTGCAGAAAACAATCATTGACACCCTCCATAAGGAGGGAAAGCCTCAAAAGGTAATTGCAAAAGAAGTTGGATGTTCCCAAAGTGCTGTATCAAAGCACATTAATAGAAAGTTATGTGGAAGGGAAAAGTGTGGAAGAAAAAGGTGCACAAGCAGCAGGGATGACCGTAGCCTGGAGAGGATTGTCAGGAAAAGGCAATTCAAAAGTGTTGGGGACTTTCACAAGGAGTGGACTGAGGCTGGAGTCAGTGCATCAAGAGCCACCACACACAGACGGATCCTGGACATGGGCTTCAAATGTCGTATTCCTCTTGTCAAGCCGCTCCTGAACAACAAACAACGTCAGAAGCGCGTCTTACCTGGGCTAAAAAAAAAAACCAGACCTGCTCTGTTGCTCAGTGGTCCAAAGTCCTCTTTTCTGATGAGAGCAACTTTTGCATCTCATTTGGAAACCAAGGACCCAGAGTATGGAGGAAGAATGGAGAGGCACACACTGCAAGATGCTTGAAGTCCAGTGTGAAGTTTCCACAGTCTGTGTTGATTTTGGGAGCCATGTAATCTGCTGGTGTTGGTCCACTGTGCTTCATTAAGTCCAGGGTCAACGCAGCCATCTACCAGGAGATTTTGGAGCACTTCATGCTTCCTTCTGCAGACTAGCTTTATGGGGATGCTGACTTCATTTTCCAGCAGGACTTGGCACCTACCCACACTGCCAAAAGCACCAAAACCTGGTTCAATGACCGTGGGATTACTGTGCTTGATTGGCCAGCAAACTCGCCTGATCTGAATCCCATAGAGAATCTATGGGGCATTGCCAAGAGAAAGATGAGAGACATGAGACTGGACAATGCAGAAGAGCTGAAGGCCGCTATTGAAGCATCCTGGTCTTCCATAACACCTCAGCAGTGCCACAGGCTGATAGCTTCCATGCCACGCCGCATTGAGGCAGTAATTGCTGCAAAAGGGGCCCAGACCAAGTACTGAGTACATATGCATGCTTATACTTTTCAGAGGTCCGATATTGTTCTATGTACAATCCTTGTTTTATTAATTGCATGTAATATTCTAATTTTCTGAGATTGTGGATTTGGGGTTTTCATGAGCTGTAAGCCATAATCATCACAATTATGACAAATCACGGCTTGAACTATCTTGCTTTGCATGTAATGAGTGTATCTCATATATTAGTTTCAACTTTTAAGTTGCATTACTGAAATAAATGAACTTTTTCACGATATTCTAATTTTTCGAGTTTCACCTGTATAGTTCATGAGCTGTAATATGCTGTATGTATTATCTAAAGAAGGATTGTTTTTTTTTTTTTATCTTTTGTTCATATTTATTTTTTGAAGGGTGCTATTCAGGAAAAATATGATGCCACAGATAAAGATACCCCAATACCTACAGACCGACAGGTACGTTTCATAGTTTGAACGTAAGCCTCTTAACACTTCCTAATGATTACCAATAAGAAAATCAACAGTGCCTTGAAAAAGAATTCATACCCCTTGAAATTTTCAAAATTTTGTCATGTTACAACCAAAAATGTAAATGTATTTTATTGGATTTTTATGTGATAGACCAACACAAAATGGCACATAATTGTGAAGTGGAAGGAAAATGATAAATGTTTTTCTAAATTTTTTACAAATGTCTGAAAAGTGTGGTGTGCATTTGTATTCAGCCCCCCTGAGTCAATACTTTGTAGAACCACCTTTTACAGCTGCAATATTTTTGAGTTTGTCTGTACCAGCTTTGCACATCTAGAGAATTAAATTTTTGCCGATTCTTCTTTGCAAAATAGCTCAAGCTCTGTCAGATTGGATGCAGAGCTTCTGTGAACAGCAATTTTCAAGTCTTGCCACAGATTCTCAATTGGATTTAGATCTGGACTTTGACTGGGCCATTCTAACACCCAAATATGCTTTGATCTAAACCATTCCATTGTAGCTCTAGCTGTATGTTTAGGGTCATTGTCCTGCTGGAAGATGAACCTCTGCCCCATTCTCAAGTCTTTTTCAGGCTCTAACAGGTTTTCTTCTAAGATTGCCCGGTATCTGGCTCCATCCATCTTCCCATCAACTCTGACCAGCTTCCCTGTCCCTGCTGAAGAAATTCATCCCCACAGCATGATGCTGCCACTACCATGTTTCACGGTGGGGATGGTGTGTTCAGGGTGATGTGCACTGTTTGTTTTCTTGCCACACATAGCCTTATGCTTTTAGGCCAGAAAGTTAAATTTTGGTCTCATCTGACCAGAGCACCTTCTTCCACATGTTTACCTTGTCCTCCACATGGCTTCTCACAAACTGCAAAAGGGACTTCTTATGGCTTTTTTTCAACAATGGCTTTCTTCTTGCCACTACTTCAATAAAGGTCAGATTTGTGGAGTGCACGACTAATAGTTGTCCTGTGGACAGATTCTCCTACCTGAGCTGTGGATCTCTGCAGCTCTTCCAGAGTCACGATGGGCCTCTTGGCTGCTTCTATGATTAATGCTCTACTTGCCTGACCTGTTACTTTAAATGGGTGGCCATGTCTTGGTAGGTTTGCAGTTGTGCCATACTCTTTCCATTTTTGGATGATGGATTGAACAGTGTTCCATGAGATGTTCAAAGCTTGGAATATTTTTTTTTTAACCTAGCCCTGCTTTAAACTTCTCCACAACTTTATCCCTGATCTGTCTGGTGTGTTGCTTGGCCTTCATGATGCTGTCTGTTCAATAATGTTCTCTAACAAACCTCTGAGGGCTTCACAGAACAGCTGTATTTATTCTGAGAATAAATTCCACACAGGTGGACTCTATTTACAAATTAGGTGACTTCTGAAGGCAATTTGTTTCAATAGATTTTATCTAGGGGTATCAGAGTAAAGGGGGCTGAATACAAATGCATCCACACTTTTCAGATATTTATTTATTTGCAAAAAATTTTGAAAACCATTTATCATTTTCCTTCCACTTCAAAATTATGTGCCATTTTGTGTTGGTCTATCAAATAAAATCCCAATAAAATGTATTTATGTTTTTGGTTATAACATGACAAAATGTGGAAAATATCAAGGGGTATGAATACTTTTTCAAGGCACTGTATACATATGTTACCGTGTATGCATTTGCACTGTTGAAGTGCAAGCCATGCTTCAGGACCATCATTTTTGGTGATTACTGGAACCTACACTGTCCATACTCTTTATCAATGTGCCAAAACTTTTTATATTTGTATATTTCACTTAAAGTCAACCTGTCAGCCATTTTAAGCATTTAAGAATAGAATGGCAAGCACCATAACAGACTTGGTCGCTGTTAAAGTAAGGTTATCCAGATAAACCCTTCTGTGGGCTTCTTCTCAGTTTGTTTCACTTTTTGCTATTATCATGTCTAATAGCGGCGTCCAAAAAGCAGTGGACTAGGAAACCAGCGTTCGGGCTAAGTCTTGGCAACTGCAATTACTATGTCCAAAGAGTCCCAGGAAAATTACATTTCATTTTCTTAGTAATATTAGACAGTATGTGAACAGTATTTCCCAGACTCTTCCAGTCCCCAAAGCATTAAATATTCAGCAGTTCCTAAAATTAGCCTAAATTAATCTACTAGAACTCCTAAAAGATTGAGGTCAGATTATAGACAGATTGCAACATGGAATATGTCATCACTAGCGATTGTTTTTAGGTTTGCTAGACTGGAAATCTTATCTTTGTTTTGATACTTGAGTTAGAACCCTACAATTTAAAAGGGAAAAAAGAAAGTACAAGTATATCTTATTACAACACCAAGACTGATTAGATTATTATAGCAAAGGCAGAATCAATCACTTTGCATAAGTTTACAAATTGGAATGGAGGGGATGTTATTTTCTGTGCTTTCAACAGGAGTTATTAGAAAACTGGAAATCCTACACTTGTTTGTGAGTCACCTGTGTCTCAACACAGAGGGGTTCCCCTTCTCTCACAGTTTTGTGAAATTTGCCTGAATTTGGTGCTGTAATTTCAATGTCATTTGTTTCAACACTAACCAGTAAATTTGGCATTGCTATGCAGCCCACACACAAATATCATATCAGTGTGTTCTTATTAAGAAACTGGGGTTGTTTTCTCATAGGCATCAATTAGATTTAAGTTTGGAATCTGATTGATTGACAGTAATTCACTCTAGGTCTTAGTAAGACCATGTTGAAACTTTATATCCAGTGACTCTCTGAGAACCATTATATTATTATGTCTAATAAATCATGATATATTATGATTTATGGGCTCCATTATTTATTGTTGGGTTGTTGAAACTAAGAATCTGTGTTGTCAGCAATCTCTTTCTCACATTGTTTTTCAGTATGATGAACTGCTCTCCTCAACTAAATGACATGCAAAGTTCCGAAGGGTGCTAAACAGGTCTCATTATTTACAATAGAATTTTGGGAACTGTTTTGTACACTGAAGTTGATATCCCACCTTATCATCAATATGATGAGCTGCTTGCCTCACCTGAGCGAGATAGAGAGTTTTGAAGGGTGCTAAACGGGTCCCATCATTTAGAATGGGATTGTGCAAACTAGGAATCTGTGTTGACTGTAAAATCTATTTTGGAAATATTTTATTAATCATTCATGGAGGGTGGCAGAAGTAATTTAACAGGGTTATACTGCTGCCTACAGGAGAATTAGTAACAAGAAACAAGAAAGCTTTTAGTTAGCCAGGTAAACCTATCCCACTCCCATCATTCTTCAGTTTCTTGCTGACGTTCTAGGAGAATGGACATCTTTTCTCCTGAGAGAAAAGTTAACCTGATTAACGTGACATTTATTTTTCTCTTCAGTCAATATTCTTTTTTAGCTGCAGAGCTCAGGGCTCCTATTGCAGCTTTCCAGATAGGCTGATACGCAGCATCATCCTTCAGGGCGTACTCAGACCAAACCACAATGATGATGCAAAGATTGATGTAATGTGCAGTGGACTCTGCTTGTGTCACTCTCCAGAAACTTAATAAACTGTGTTATCCGCAGAGCGATTTGCTGGTCCAGGGCTCTGATACAACTGATGATGTAATCCAGACTTCCTGGGGAGTATGCCCACCTGAAGGGTAAAGACTGTCTGGAGTGTGACATGTTTCACTGGGTACTGTGTTGACATTCTGCAATATTTTTTGCTGTTTGTTTGCCGCATGGTACTCTTCAGACCACCACTGCAGTACATTACTGGGACCTTGCCCTTTTTTGGAGCCTGGTGTGTAGTACTATATTCCCCTGCTTATTGCTCCACAGGGTTAAAGCTGGGGATATTAGTGCTGTGTGACATTTTTATGTGTTACAGGCATTCTTAGGAAATAAGCGTACTGGGTAATCTTGCTATGGCACTATGGATTGTGTCATATGTTCCCTTGTGTTAATTAAATGCTGCTCTGCCTAGAGCTATGTAATGCATTCTCATTTACCCTTCCCTCCTGTCTTTGGTGTGAGGTGATCACCACCACAATGCTCCTCAGCAAGGATTCCAGAGACAGTTCTTCTTGCTGTAACCTTAACCATGTCACTGTCATAGAGCGTCCCCTATTTCAACAACAGGTGTAGCAGAACGGAGGAACCAAATAGTTTTACACCTTTTCCTCCAAGGTCTGTATGGTATACCTGCAGCCAGTGGCGAAGCTAGACATTTTTCACCCAGTGCAAAGACTCAGTTCGCTCCCCCCCACCCGAATAGGACCATGTTGATAGGGCAGAGGTTGGTTTCAGTAGGGCAGTGGATGCTGTCAGCAGTTTTTATTGTCACTGGCTGTGTGTGAGTCAACAACAGTTTGTCACATCGGGTGATAAAGATGCAGGGAACCAGTAGTTCCCTGTTTACTTGATGCACTTCTGTACCACGAGTCACAACCTTAAAGCAAAATATAACATTTCTTCCAGGTAGTACAAAGGTGGTGCAGGAGTGAACAGGGAATGCTCGTTCCTTGTGTCTTTTCATTCCTCTTTGCATTTTCTGTTTACTTGATGCACTTCTGTACCACGAGTCACAACCTGAAAGCAAAATATAACATTTCTTCCAGGTTGTACAAAGGTGGTGCAGGAGCGAACAGGGAATGCTAGTTCCCAGCCTCTTTGTATCAAAGAGCACATATATTATGTATTAATTTCTTAACCTTTTTCAGTCATGACTTGTTTTTATTGGGCTGAAGGAAACGGATATCTGCAATGGATGATGATATTTGTTGCCACATGGGGGAATCCCTCTCTTTTGCATCAGAGTCCTTACCTTTCACATTAGAGTTCCCCCTTCACAAATAGTCCTATCTTCAAATCTTTACCTTGGCTGCGGCATCATGGCAGAGGGTGGGAGGCAATGCAAGTATGAACAGAAGTAAAGTTTCCATCCTTTTAAAAAAGCCTTCCCTGTCATCCATTTCCATGGTGCAGACCAGCTGGATGCC